AAGGTTAGAAGAAAAACCCATTCCATATAATTTACCTAGCAGAACATCATTATCAACCCTGTCAAACGCCTTTTTGAAGTCGAAATAGATAACGTCAACCTGGATGTTTCTATCTAAGTGTTGCGAGACAAGATCAACCAATGTCAAGAGGTTAGTATTTACAGAGCGGTTCAATCTGAAACCATGTTGCGAATCGCATAGATAAGGTTGTATTTGTTTACTAATATGTTTATGTATTATAGATTCAAACAATTTTGGCAATGATGACAGTATCGCTATGGGTCTATAATTTTCTACAAGTGTATGATCGTTTGTTTTGGGGATAGGTTGCACACGCGAAACTTTCCAACGTTTAGGATATGTCCTTGAGTTTAACGCCAAGTTGAATATGTGAAGGAGTGGCGACTTCAAGAACTCTCTACAACCCTTAATAATGTATGCAGGTATATTATCAGGGCCGATAGCACTATTTGGTTTTAAATTAGTAATGCCAGTATCAAAGTCCTTGCTGGTTATCTCGTGAATGTCCACTAAATTAGCTGTATAATTTTGACAATCAAGCAGATTCCTACAATCAAGAAGGGGTGCGTCGGGTAAAAATACGTTAGCAAAAAAATTTGAAAACGCCTGTGCTGCGTCACTGCCTTCATATTCCACTCCGTTGTAACTGACTTTAGGCGCAAAACCGCCTCTACTTTTCAAACTATTTATGTTCATGTCTTTTATCCCTGAAGGGATAGGCAGACGTGCACATTACGGCGCTTAATGCCACTGTATAATGTAACACTCGCTTTACACTATTTATGTCATGAGTCCAATGTAATAGTGGGTGAGCCTATCGCAATATACCGGGCACAATTCCAAACTCCGTGCTACTACGGGGTTTTTTTTTTAAAACCCCAGCAGTTAGTACCTACTTTGCCCGACCCGGGAATCGAACCCGAGACCCCTTGCCCGGCAGTCGCGACTGCGACCACTCAGCCAACGAGGCAGTCTTAATTAGGTTATTAGGTATTAACAAGACAAATGTACTGTTGTCTGATAAAGAAATTTCTTCAAATCGTATCTATCATTAGGTATACAGTTGCGACTCTCACTACACGCGATGAGAATATTCAAGAAGTCTTCACTAGAACTCGTTAACAAGAATACTTACATAAAACTAGGTACATTGCATAGTACATAGGCATGCGTCACTGCAATATAATAAAGGAACTCACTTAATGACATCCTTATGATTAATAATTTTTACTTACAATTAAAATGTAGTAATCCGAAAAATCTACGTCGATTGTAAAGAAATGGCTTGATATTTTACCTGTTAGGAAGTCAATTAATTACTCTGAACAATTTTTTTATACCTAATCAATGTTTAGAAAAACCGATTTCAATGCCCTCTTTTTTTGAGGTCGGTTTATTATTACCTACCGATTCTAAAAACTTCTCCTAAATGTAACAAAAAAATTTCTGAAAACAAATCGGTTCCTCCTTCAGCCAATCATGAGATAATTGTGCACAAAACAAACATATCCTTACAGGTCCATCTGGGAAGGGAACCTCTTTCGTTTTTTGAAGTCGCGTAATAATGATACTCTTGATTAAAATACCTACCTACAATATACCACAATATTGGAAACTTTAAATAAAACACACAAAAACACTTAACAGATTTAATTACTGTCCATCATCGTCACAGCAGCAGCCGTCTGCATCAATCTCCACACCACACATCCTCAGCAGGAAGACACAGCAGGTAACACATAGCAAACACCTTAGGATCTTCCCACACGAACCACAATTACAATGACATGAAATACACATTTTTACAACTTATTTATTGCACTATTACGAAATTGCAAAGTCCTTTCTTCAAGAGACTATCACCAAATTGCAATTTGCACTTTTGTTTTTTTTTAATATTATTGTTTTAATAAACTCGGACGCGAGTTTACAGAACCGCGGGCAGCGGTGTTATGACGCATTCGTTTCTGTTTTAGTATTTGTGAGTATAAAGTTATTTATCATGAGTATCTACGGTTAAAGTAGGTAAGCGTGAGATAACAGGTGTTTACCTGTTTACTATGAGTAGGTAATATTAATAAAATGAGTCGTTTTTCGTTTCATAGGTAGATGTCTTTTTTTTCTAACAGATTGATATTAGGTAGTTTTATTTGTGTCTGACTGCCTCGTTGGCCGAGTAGTTGCAAGTGCGACTGCCGGGCAAGGGGTCTCGGGTTCAATTCCCGGGTCGGGCAAAGTATTACTGAGTTTTAAAAAAATCTCAGTAGTATGGAATTGTGCCCGGTATATGGCAATAGGCTCACCCCCTATTACATGGGACCCATAATATAAATAGTGAAAAGTGGATGTTACATTGTACAGTTGTATAATGTGCACCTCTGCCTCCCTTCGGGGTTAAAAGGCGTGATGTTATGTGTTATGTTCATTTGTACTTATAGCATGTAAATGGGAACCTGATGGGAAAAGTCAGGTTTGCTTGTGGAAACCACAATATGTTTTTCCGACTTGTGAGACGATGACTATGTTTTGCGTTAGCGTTCAACAGTTAGCTGATCGACTGTTGAGTACCTAGTATTTGTCCGTTTATAAGAATCATGGCTTGGTGACGCCGATTAGTTTCTGACTTTAATTAACGACGTCGCCATTGTTTAAACAAAAACTACGTGCAAAAATAGCTATTTTTATCTCTATGGTAAGTAATGTTAATTTGATGTAGTAATGTCAAGCAAGGCCAATTCTGAATGGAATTTTATTTATTTATATTAAACTTTACTAGCAACCCGCCTCGGCTTTGCACGGATGCAACATACATGTATGCCTTATAAGGCTTCCTTAAGAATCACTCTATCTATTAAAAAAACCGCATCAAAATCCGTTGCGTAGTTTTACAAGATTTAAGCATACATAGGGACAGACAGACGGCGGATAGCGACTTTGTTTTATACTATGTATTGATTGCACGCATAGAAAAATAAATATACCTACATTGTATTCAATAGAAATTTGAGTAGGTACCTACAATGGACAGTCTTATTATATGCGGGCATTTCTTCCAGACAACCTTTGTTGTTTTGGAATCTATCTACGCTCATAAAAAATTACGTAATCAAATTCTTTATAACATCCACGGAATATAGAAACATCCATCGTATTATCACCTATTACAATGCCTGATAAGTAGTACGTACCAACTTGAGTCATTCTTCTAAAAACTATGAATCACTATTTTAACAAAATATTGATAACAAACACAATTTCCGCATGATTCCTTTTATTTCCTGTAAAAACATTATAAATTGTAACAAAAACATCTTGATAAATCACTCTAAAACAATTTAAAAATATCAGGTATCTAAATATCTGCAATATCGTGATATTGCCAAATCAATTATTTCTATTTACTCCATAATTTTATTCGTAACTGTCTTCACCCATACATTCATCACAATTAATTCCAAACATTTCGCAACACCATATGCATAAGTATATGCAGAAAATGCAACGAAGGCAACGGGAACATGCGTTGTTGCCGCCGCAACAAAAGCAACACATCACGGATAGCAACTGCTGCGGATATATTTGCTATAAATATCACACTGTTGCTAAACTATCACATAATGTGATAGTTGCTAAGTTTTGTTCACTTTTATTGGAGAGTGCGGCAAACGAACGGACGAATTTGCTGATGGTAATTAATAAATAAAATTAAAATTAGCAACTAAAGCAATCGATGACGTCCATGGATATTCGCAATACCGTAGGAGCGGGGTTTAAGGTGTCCCTGTATAAGATTATCACAATATTGCTCAATGTTCACAAGCTACGAACACCAATCGTGATACTTGCTGTTCAAACTATCTTATTATTGCTCTGCACTATCTTGCACATAGATAATATTGATACAAAATTATCATATTTCATAAATATAACTTTGTAAATAATTGTTATATATCTATAGAATGATTTGATATATATATTGATTTGATCATATAAATGTCAAATAGAGAAATGACAGAAATCCAAAGATTCTGTGTTCAAGTTTGAAAGAGTTTATGATATATCAAGGGTACATCTCTATTATAGAAAGTAGCTATAATAGAGATGTACCTACCCATAAATTATTTATATGCTCTCTGGACCACGGTAATAATAATATTACCATGTCTATGCTGGCCTCATAGAACTCGGTGACCATGGATGGCTGACGAAAAACGCGTCGCGGATTTAATTCCCATCAGTTCCAATTACAAATACTAATGGATTTTTCTTATAAAAATTATCATTGCTAGCCTGGAGCCAGGAAAATGATACGGGACGCCTTGGAAAGCACGTAAAACTGTTGGTCCAGCGCCTGACAACAGGATTTTGTGATTGTGACGTAATGCAATGCCATCTTATTCAATTAAGAAAGTAAGGATTTAGGGAACAGAGAGTATAGTTTCCTAAGATCAGAAAGGAGGATCCTCCGACCAGGCGAGGTGTTCGTGCCTGGCGGGCTTTCTGCCCGTTCGTTCTTCGTTGGGTTTTTCTATCCGTGTTTATTCGCTTGTAAACTTTGCATGTGCGATGTAGGATTCTTGTGACGTCATCCGTTGATTTGTGACATGTGTCGCCACAAGGGAAAAGAAGGGGAAGTATTCATACACACACTTGTGCAATATAACATCTCATGGATATTGATTTAGGTACCTAAGTGGGTAGTCTATTTAACACAAACTTTTTGGCACAGCACAGATTACTAGGCAGACCTGTATTATCCCTAAGGCAAAATAAGCAAATTAGGGGGCCAAGTTATAAGTACATACTTAAGTACCAAAAAACAATAATTGGGTTGCCTATGTACCTCGGCGCTCGATAGGTTTAATCCGCCCCTTGCTCGCTATTATGATCGAAATAGATAGGAAGAATTCATTTAGATACTGATAGGTAGGTAAATAAAACAGCACAATAAAACAATGAACACATATATATATTGCAAATCATGTGGTGTGCTTCCTCCAGTGTATATTGAAGCCAGTGTCTCGAAATAACTGGTCGATATCTTCCTTGTCCAAGTTCAACGAGGCCTGAAAACAATATGTTAGTCTCCACAAGTTTCATGACTAAGCGTGAGGTCTAGATTGGTCCTTTTTTTAAGCTGAAAGACATCAGCATCTTCTCACATTTTTTCACATTTTTACTGACTTATGTCGAAATACTCAAACGCTACTCAATTTTAAGTCGTGCTTAAGTATAGTTCTGTCTCTACAAATTCTTTGTAAAATGACAGAGATGGCACGATATTTAAGCACGACTTAAAATTGAGTAACGTTTCAGTATTCCGGCATAAAATCTACCCCATTCCTACTCTTGCTTCCAGCCGGGGCCACGGCAAAACCCACAAGGTTGACCGCAGCCCTGGTGACTCGGCCCACTCTGGGTGAGTAGGGAATCTATGTATATGAATCCATCTATCTATGACAGAGTATCATACTCTTACCAACTTAAAAGTACCCCGTTCCAACTCCTATTCTATGCCGAAGTCTCGGCACCTGTATGGCAATCTACCCACAACCTCAGCAGGACTGTCTGATAACTCCTAGGTCGTAAAAAATGATTGGGTTTTTCAATGATGAAATCTGAAACTTAAGTCCATTTTGAGGATTACAGACAGATAGGGATCTTCCTCCCTATGAGTCTAGAATTTTTTTTAAGGGGGACAATTATCGAATGACTCTTCGCGCCTGGGTGAGGCGGGAGGGAGTGTCAGACTCTTACTGACTAAAAACCACCCCGTTCTTTCTCCTGCACGTCTAGCCGGAGCCCCGGTAACCCGTTAGGTTCTCCGCGACGTGAATCTAGACTCGTACATTCTCATTACTCATACCTTATTTTAAAGGGACCTATTGGTTCCTAGTCAAAAGCTTTATAATCTGTAAGGAGGCTATTACATACCCCTTTGGGCTTCTCGTCGATTTGTGGTCTTTTTTGGAGAGCCATTAAAGGCCTATATCTCTCTGTTTCCTGCAAAAGAAAACGAAGTGAAGTGGAAACTATTTCTTCCCTACTCCTCCAATCACAGTTTCCAATTAATTCTAGAGGTACTTACAATAAAATCTTTTTTCGGCGGTTTGCCCGTGGACGCATAAGTCAGTAGAGCATTTGCGCCCGGTCTGTGAACGACAATATTATTTAAACGAACCAATAGCTCTCAGGTTATTCAGTGCCTGTAGCCAAATGCAATGTAGAGAACTAAATTATAATTATTGAACTAAGTTAATGCCATCTTCATACATTGAGATCCTACCTAATTTTTTCCTTTGCTGGTTGTCTGTAAGACCGCCTTTGTGCCCATTATTATTTTTTGTTTATGTTTGTCATTTCGTTTTTCGGTGTTTTATTATTGGTGTACAATAATGATTATTTTATTCTATTCTATTGAGTTTTCTACTATCTCGGTAGACAAGCGCTAAAATGGCATTTGGTTTAAGGCATTCTAACTTTCAATTCTAAAGATCGAAGCGAATTCAATCGCAGTCCGCCATGTCATTGTTGTTTGGAGAACGTGTGAGGTTGTGAAAACAATCTCGACCAATGACGTGCGAGAATGCGATTGAGCTCACTCTAAAAGTTCGAATTGACAGTGACAGAATAGCCTATAGCTCATCACATTCTTACTCAGGTGCTTAGGTTTCAGGTTGGCCATTGAATGGAAATCCATTCTTCTTATTTTTACAAAATACTTATTTTTCTGAGGTTCATATGCCGTCGGTTATCTGCCGTCAGTGACAGTCATTTGACATCATCATCATCGTCATATGACGTCCACTGCTGACCATAGGCCTACCCCAATAACAGATACCACCAGTACAAAATATGTGGGAACGTAATATTGATGACCTCACCTTAACTTCAATCACTTGAGATATCGTACCGAAAATCCCCAAAATTTCTTCATACAAAGGTAGTTTCTAAGAATCGGAAATAAGGTCTGTAATGCAGTGAGTGGGGAGTAGTCACCGGTGACCGCTTTTTTTTGTTTTTTTTTTAAGGGGGGAAAATCATCGATTGACTGCTCCCGCCTGGGTGAGGCGGGAGGGAGTGTCAGACTCTTACTAACTAAAAACCACCCCGTTCCTTCTCCTCCACGTCGAGCCGGAGCCCCGGTTACCCGTTAGGTTCTTCGCGACACCGGTGACCGCTTACCGCGCTTTTTGACCAGTAAAAAGTTCCTAGTATTGTATTCAGAACTTATTTGCATAATTGTAAGTCTTTAATTTTACCTCGGAGGCCTAAGTCTTGTTTGTCTCCATCTCGGACGAAAGATAGTCTCCTGAAAACATTTAAGAATTATGCAAAAGTTGCTATAAAGGAGGTTAAATTAAAACCCTTTAGTAAGCAACAGGTTCCACGTGTTTTTATAAACGAGTGTTCATTTTCAATCTGACGCAGAATTTAATACTTCCAATCCAAAAATTATTTAAAAAATATATTTTTCCAGCTGTCTAAAAGAAGTTCGGACATTGGGTAATCTAGAGCCGATTTTTTAATCATCAGCTAATATTTAACTGACGGAATAAAATTGATATTTGACAGGTTTTTACCCACAGCTTCAGTGCCCGCTGCTGAGCAAAGCCTCCTCTTATACAGCGAAGGTTTGAGCATTAATCACCACGCTTGCTCAATGCGGGTTGGCGATTTCAAACTTACAATTAGAAATTGTAAGCCCAGGTTTCCTCACGATGATTTCCTTCACCGTTTGTCAGTGGTGTCTGAATAATCTTAGAAAGTACATATAACTCGGAAAATGTCACAATGGTACTTGCCGTTGGTAGTCTGTAGTTTCTATTGTCATGGAAGGTACAAACCTCATGTTCAGTCATATCATGCTCGTCTCGGACTGTGGGCCGATACATCTCAAGCAGAGTGCGGGGTACCTAAAAATGTAATATAATATTAGGTCACTTTGAACGCTTCAGCTCTGAGGTGGGACTATAAGAGTACATATTATGTACTAGCTACTTCTGTGCGGTTTCACACGCTCTGCTCAGCTCCTATTGGTCATAGCGTGATGTTTTATAGCCTATAGCCATCCTCGATAAATGTGCTATCCAACAGAAAAAGAATTATTCAAATCAGACTTGTAGTTACGCCTACGGAGATTAGCACGTTCAAACAAAAAAACAAACTTTTCCGTCCGCTTTATATAATAGTATAAGATGAATGTTTCTACGCCTGATGTTTCTCTAGTCGTATTTTTGTCTCGCCTGGTGGTAAGCGATGATGAGGTCTACGATAGAGCACGTCGTCCCATAAACTATTACCTATTCACTCGGGCCTTGAAGGCACCCAGGTTTATAACCTTCAGGAAACACAATCTGGCAAAGAATATCACTCCTAGCAGTACGCACAAGGAAGCTTGATGCGAAGCGCTTCGTGAGACATCTACCATGAATCGGTGACGCTTCGCCGGTGGTACGATGATGGAAAGGTACGTATTAGAAAACTGGTTCTTTATCCAGGCTATTCTTGAAGAATTTTTAGTAAGCTCGATCGCATTCTTGCACGTCATTGGTCGAGATCATAGATATATCAAAAATATAATTTTTAATATTTCTGTGGTCGAGATTATTCTCACAACCAATGACATGGCGGACTGCGATCGAGCTCACTTCAATCTTTCAAATTGTAAATTACAGGATAGCCTAGCTGACCTAAAAGTGAGTAAAGAGTACTTAAATAGAAAAAATCACAAGAGCAAAGTCATACAAGAATTGGTGAACAAAAAAATTTTAATTTATTAAAACGATATTTTACAAAATTTACGTTACTGTAAATAAGATTTTGAGAGTTAAAAGTAATTTTATTCTTAACTAAATTTTGTCTGCGACTTCGTTCGTTTTCGTAAGTATGGCGCATTATTCCGGGATAGTAGACTAGTCTTTCTATTCTATCATAGAATACCTATATGTCAAATTAAATTCAGAACAGTCTAAGTAGTAATTTTTGCGTGATGTATTTATTGCAAAATAGACATAGCTTCTTTTCTACCTAACACGTCTTAACCGACGTAAACCGACGTAAGACAACAATGGGGATGATGACAGGGTATGAAAATTAAAAATATAATTAGTCCGTAAGTTAGGTAATGAAAAAATATTAGACACGTATTTTTTTATTTTGTCGTATAATAAAACAATACTTAGATAAAACGAATCAAAGTTTAGGAGTGGGGGCTAAAACGTCATTCCTTAGTATAAAATGTACTGAGAAGTGACGTCACGCGACATTTCAAATCAATATATCTTCGAAACTATTCGTTTCTGTGAGAAAATTAAAAAATACGTGTCTAATGTTTTTAAATAATCTATCAGACGGACATTAAAATAAAAATTAGTCGTCTACCCCATTGCGTTGTGTTTCGCCATATAAACGAGGTTTCTTCGCCAGCAAAGATCAACAACGCACTTAGATCTTCTGGTGTTACAATTATCCATAGGCAACGCTCATTGCATACCATCAGGTGATAAGTCAGCTAATTTGTGCCTCTATTCTTAAAAAAAGTATTCAGTGTTACCGGCGGTTCAGTCGGATCATCCCTAAGAGTGGGGCGGTACAGTTCAGCTAAGGTTTGTTCCACGGTCTCCGTGGTTTCGGGCCGAGGAGTCGTCAGAGGGATTACCTCCTCCAAGTTCTCCGGATTTTCTTGGCTTTGGCTGGAAAGGTTATAGATAGCATTATGGTGACATATAAGTAGCAGTAGAATATAAGAAGTCGGGCAATCCTTCATCTCACTCTTTTACAGCACCGCTCTCTCTCAAGCATTTAATACACTTAGGTAGGCTTTAGTATAGTGATTAACCGACTTCAAAAAAGAGGAGTTTGAAGTCGGTTTTCTTAACGTAGTTTTTAAAAGAATTACTTATATAAAAGCTCACATTAATCTCAAATAAATGGGGATAATTAGATATTTTCTTGGGTCAAAAATAAATTATTTTAGTTTTTCAATCCAATTAAATATTTAAAAATAATTACTCTTTCATTCATATATTTGACAATATACTTAATTTTCGATTTATTCTAGCAATTTTTTCAGAAATAAGTGTGCTGCTTGACTCGAAAATATGATGACGTCATAAGTTAGTTTTTGGTTCACAACTCATAGAACAATATCGTTTTTGACGTTTCGACAAAAGTATTGAATTTCATTAGTTGTAAAATACCGTATAGTTTAAGTGTGTTGGAGAGCCATGCTTCGGCACCAATGGCCCGGCTTGACCGGAGTGATACCACGGTCTCACAGAAAACCAACGTGAAACAACGCCTGCGTTGTTTTTCATCATGTGAGTGAGGTCACTGGAGGGCCAATCCTTCGAATCTCCCTAAATCCCTGAATCCCTAACAATCCTCAAAATCCTAAACCTTAAAACGCGGTAACGCACGTGTAACACCTCTGGCATTCCGTGTGTTCATGGGAGACGCCGATTGCTTACCATCCACATGCATCCATACCACAGTAAATGAGCATATGGATTACCATCAGGTGATCCATATGCTCGGTTACCGGCTTATCTCATTAAAAAAACTTACCGCCACTGTCCGAAGTTAGGTTTCTTCCGAGCCCTCCAATCATTTCGGACAATATTGTCGAACTGATTGCTATCGAAGGTGTTCTGAGCCTCCTTATAGTTCACGTTGATGTTCACCTTGTTTCGTGTCTTCTGTTCCAGCTCCCGGTCCAACTTCTGTATTATAGACTCTTTAGCCGTCGTCGTCGTCTGCGGCTTGTATGTAGCTTTGGAAAGCGAAATAGTTATTAAAAAAACTGAACAGAAATGAACCAAAACTATGAAGTAATCTCTGCAGTTTAGAATAGGCTGGATTTTGTAGGAGGGTCCCCCCCTCTCGGTAGGAGTAGTAGTGTTTTAGATAACATAACATCATGCCTTTTGTCGCATAGGCAGTGGTGCACAGTGCACATTGCGACACTTAATGCCACTGTACAATGTAACACCCACTTCTCACTATTTATGTAATGAGTCCCATATGTAATAGGGGGTGAACATATTGCCATATACCGGGCACAGTTCCAGACTCTGTGCTACTACTGAGATTTTTTTTAAAAACCCAGTAATAATTTGCCCGACCCGAGAGGCAAACAAGTGTTTTAGTGTTTCTAGTGAAAGAAGATGGAAGAGGAAAGGGGTATCGGGTTGGATTCCCGGGTCGGGTGCGAGTGGAACTGTATGAACTCATAATGATGATGAATGAAAGTAAGAGAATTTGTTCAGTTTCATTGTCTGAACTAGCTTTTGCATCATATCTTACTTTTATTTATACTCACGTCTATGGTACATTTTAGTCTCAAATTTCCTGGTGTGCTGTTCAGGAAACTCCCTGGTGGGGCTTGGTTTAGTCTTGACCTTTGGTAAAGAAGTTCGTTTCTCAGTCTTGGTGATCCAGAGGGCGGGTGTAGGAACGTCCCCAACATCCACTGTCATTATGTCAGGGTCATCCTCTTCGTCATCCTCGTAATTATCTTCTAGCTCCACTTCTTCTGGTTCAGCGGGAACTGGATGGCGTACCTGGACGACATGAAAGGCTTAGAGTTTCATTGGACACATATTCAGTACTGCCTCGTAGGCCGAGTGTTCGCAAGTGCGACTGCCAGGCAAGGGGTCTCAGGTTTGATTCCCGGGTCGAGCAAAGTATTACTGGGTTTTTATAAAATTCTTAGTGGTAGCACGGAGTCTGGAATTGTGCCCGGTATATGGTAATAGGCTCACCCCCTATTACATGGGACTCATAACATAAATAGTGAAAACTGGGTGTTACATTGTACAGTGGCATTAAGTGCCGAAATGTGCACCTCTACCTATCCCTTCGAGGATAAAAAGGCGTGATGTTATGTATTTTATGTATATTCAGTACCTAGTATTAACAAAAATGTACCTTGATTCTATAGTAACATGTAATAATTTGATCCACTAGCACCTAATTAAAACTCTTTAAGTTTTAATTACATAAAAAAGACATACCGGTGCACAAAGTAAAGGGTAAGCTGTCCTAGGTCTTCGAGCAGTATGTATAGGACAAGGAGCCATAGGCCCAGAGACCAGGGTCCTCTGGCCCAGCATATTTGTGTGGGAGAAGTCACACACGAGGAGTAGACGGGAATGATGAGCTCCATGGCGCACGGCACCGCAGCCAACCGCTTGGAGGTTCCATACTGCTAGCTGGCTGAAGTGGCCCCAGACTGTGCCTCTGGAAAAGTGATGAAGAAAAAAGTTGAAAATCACACTACCACCTATAAAAGGTATTCATTTATCAACACTTTGAATACCGTCATTATAGACACAATTAAAGAACAATAGGTTGCGGTCACCGGTGTCCTCGTGGTGTTTAAACTGTCAAATACCGAGCGGTCACCGGTGACCGCAACTCAATTGTGTAATCTGTTAGCTGGCTCTTACGACACATCAGATGATCTGTTGCTTGTTTGTCATGCTATGCAAAAAAACTTTATCAGATTTAGATTAGATTTAGTCCAGTTATTAGATTGAGAAAACCGAAGGAAACATCCCACTTACTTAGCAGTAAGTCTAAACGGCGCCGTCAGTTGTTTAGGCTGCACGCGCCGTCGCTCTCCCCACCACGCATCCAACACGCGGCGTATAGCACGCTGCGCGCTCAGCTCGTCCGAGTCGCTGGAGCGACGCCACCTTACCTCGCCTACAGTCTGACCGGCGTAAGGATACCGGACTGGAAGAGGAGAGAGAATGGAGGTGGGCTGTTTGGGTACTTTATTAAAGTAACATGTCAAGCAGGTAGCTCTTTCAACAATCTATCACCTTCAAAAGGCGCCTAGCTTTTTGGGGAAAGACTAGGGAGTGTGGGACTCGTATCTCACTAAAACCACCCCGGTGGCCACCCTCAACATCTGTAAGGGGCACCGGTTCCTCTGAAGAGACCTGTTCCGGAGCCCCCACGTTACAACGCCTGTTACAGCACATTCCTAAGGAGACCTGCTTGTCCCTTGATCATCGCTTTGCAATCTATCACTTACCTAAGTGCAGATTGGTTTGTTTAATGAACTAAAGGTTTTTTTTAAGTTTTAGTCCATACCAGTAGCTCTGCAGTCATCGTGTACAAAGTGACATTGATCCGCCAGCCTTTGAGCTAGTAGAGCCAGCTCACGGTCCCATTCCTGCAAAGTAAACAGAGCTGATGCAAATCAGGACAAGCTTCCTTTCTAGAAGAAATACCCTTTTAATAAGTAACTACTTCAGTTGAGACTGAGAGTAGCGCTTACGTCAAATGTAAATGTAGTTAGGCAGTCCTCAGCCTGATAAAGGTATCTTCTTCGTCAACAGTCCACTGTTGGACCATGAACAGCCTACACCAGAATTGGAGCTTGTCATAAACCCCGCGTTTGACAGTCGGGTTAGCAGTTTTAAAATTCCAGGTTTATCATATACTTTTTTTTTTTTTTTTTTTTTTTTAAGGGGGGAAAATCATCGAATGACTGCTCCCGCCTGGGTGAGGCGGAAGGGAGTGTCAGACTCTTACTGACTAAAAACCACCCCGTTCCTTCTCCTGCACGTCGAGCCGGAGCCCCGGTTACCCGTTAGGTTCTCCGCGACTCCGAATCGGCATCGGCCCTATTGGGCCCCATCTGTGGTGGTCTGATGGCTCTTTGAGGCGCGCGCGGAACGCGACGCGCCGTACGCTCGGGTCTGTTTCTGGTCGGACGGGGAGCCACCCATGCTCGCCGTCCGCAGGCCCGCGCTTACGGTGGCCGGAGATCGTCTCGCGATCCCCGACGCCCGGTGTGTCCTTCGCGATGGCTGGGTTGCGAGGAGGCAGCGCTTCGCTGCCTCACGCGTCCCGCCTCCTCCTTAGCTAGCATGACTGCTTCGCAAAAGGAGGAGACGGCATCCCAATCCCCCTCGCTCCGCATCATGGCCTGCACTAGGCCCGGACGCGAGAGGTCGCCATCGCCGATCACTTCCCTGAGGGCACGGCGGTGCTCAGCCCACGCAGGGCATTCTCCCACTGTGTGTTCCACCGTGTCCTCAGGGCGGTCCTCGCAGTGATGACACCCGGGCGTTTCCTCCCGCCCCATCAGACACAGGTACCTCCCGAAACTTCCATGTCCGGTGAGGACCTGCGTCAGGCGGTAGGTGAGGACGCCGTAGCGTCTCACAAGCCACTCCTCAAAGAGGGGACTTACCGCTGCAATGGCAGCGAGCCCAGCCCCCGGTTGCGACAGTCGTTGCTGCCATTCCGCCATGAGATCGCGCCGGAGCTCATCCCGACACGCACTTATTTGGCGCGGCAGCGGAGTTTCGCCCCGGCGACGTGCCTCCGCGCGCATGTTATACACGCGCGCGAGCACCTTCGCCTCCAGATCCCACGGCGGTAATCCGGCAAGGAGGTTCGCCGACTCCCCAGAGATCGTGCGGTATCCGCGGATCATTCGGATCGCCATGACCCTCTGTGACATGAGCAGCGTCCGAGCAGGACGCCGCAACAAGTTCGGCGCCCAAACAGGGGCGCCGTAGAGGGCCATGGACCGCACGACCCCGGCGTATAACCTCCGGCAGGAGGCGTTTGGCCCCCCGAGGTTGGGGAGGATGCGCTTAAACGCAGCCCCCGCCCTCGCCAACTTTGGAGCCAAACGTCGGAAGTGCTCCACGAAGTTCCACCGACTGTCGAGGACGAGTCCCAGGTACTTCATCGTCGTCTCGACGCCGATGGTAACCCCTCCCGCCATTATTTGGGACCCACCCGGAGGTGGCGCGTTCCCGCGGCCATGAAAACACATGGCCTCGGACTTGTGGAGCGCCACCTCGAGTCCCAACTGCCGGATTTTTTCCAACGACTGTCGCAACCGCTGTCGCCATTAAATCGGCCGCCGCCTGGTGCGACCTCCCGTGCGCTAGCACCAGCGTGTCGTCGGCGTAGCATATTGTGCTAACGCCGTTCGGGAGGTCGGTGCGCAGCACCCAGTCATAGCCGATGTTCCACAGGAGCGGCCCCAGAACCGAACCCTGTGGAACACCGCGTGACATCTCTCGCCGGTTCCACTCGCCCCGGTGACCGGGGTAGCTGACGGACCTGTCCGTCAGGTAAGCCTCGATCACACGACGGAGGTAGGTAGGCACCCCATGATATCGGAGTGCCTCCAAGATGCAGCTCCAGGGCAGGGAGTTGAAGGCGTTGGCGATGTCTAAAGACACCGCCACCACGACTCTACCCCCGGACACTGCAGTCCCCGTCGTGAGGTCCCTAACGCGCATGATGGCGTCCACCGTGGAGCGCCCTCTGCGGAAGCCGAATTGGCCGTCCGACAGGTCCGGCCCAATGTTCGTCAGGTGCGCGACGAGGCGGTTCGAAATGATTCTTTCGAAGACTTTCCCCACCTCGTCGAGCAGCACTATGGGCCGGTATGCGGACGGAGAGTCCGCAGGGCGCCCCGTCTTCCGCACGAGGACCAGTTTGCCCGCTTTCCAGAGAAGCGGGAACTGGCCTCTCTCCAAGCATGCGCTGTAGAGACCGATTAATCGAGGCCCGAGAGCCTCTGAGGCCAGGACCCATGCTTTGCCATGCAAGCCGTCGGGTCCTGGGGCGGTGTTCTTGGCGCCCATCCGGCGCACCGCCGCTCTCAATTCTGCCTCGGTCACCTCTGGGACGAGGTCATCGTCGCCGTCGCTATAGCCCGCGTCGGCACCGCAGGGGGCAGAGTCATATACGGAGGCCTGAAGCGCCTCCCGCGGTCGGGGGAACAGGGCGCTTATCACCTCCTCCAAGACCTCTGGCCGGAGACTCTGAGTGAGCGGGGGAGCCCAGGCGCGGAGCTTATCGCGCACCATCCGGTACGGGCGTCCCCACGGGTCTCTATTCAGAGTCCCCAGCATCTCTCGGCGGGCCTCCTCCTTGGCCCGCAATATCTCCGCCTTGAGGAGGGCCTTCGCCGCCCTGTATCCCTCGTATAACTCCGCCTCTCTCGCCTCCGCATTAGGAGGACGGATACGGCGCCTGCGGTGCCTAGTGTACTGGCGTCGCGCAGTAGTGCACGCCTTGCGCAGAGCCGCCAGCTCTTGCGACCACCAGTACACCTGGCGCTTCTGTTGCCTCGATCGGATCCGGGGCATCGCCACGTCACAAATCCTGGACATGGCGTCCTGGAGCCACTTAGCCTCATCGTCGATGTCGGCAGGCCTGACCGGTGGTATCACCCAGGCCTGCACGATGGCGGCTTCCAGGAGCAGCTCCCGGTCCAGCTGTTTCAGCGCCCAACGCGGACCACATGGGGCCTGTCTGACCGGCGGGTCTGCGGACTCGGCGGAGACGTCGAACCGGATATACCGGTGGTCGGAGTACGTCTCCACCTCCTCCATGACACGCCAGTCGACGATACGCGGTGACAGAGCAGGGCTGGCGAACGAAATGTCCACCACCGACTCGCCCTGCATCCGCACGCACGTGGGGACAGAACCCCGGTTCAGGACGACTAGGCCTGTCTCAAGGGCCCAGTCTTCCACCATCCTACCCCGGACGTCGGTGAACCGGGAACCCCAAGCCAAGTTTTTGGCATTGAAGTCCCCGAGGACGAGTACGGGGAGGGAACGGAACCCGACGACGACGGTGACCAACTCCATCAAGGAGTTGTGGAACTCGGCGAGAGTTCGGTTCGGAGAGAAGTACACGCCCACCACAGCGAGCTCTCCGAACCGTGCTGCGACACAACCCCGGCCTCTTTGAGCAGCCTCAAGAGTCGGGGTACCGGCGGCGGCCGACGATATGATGGTCACCGAGCCGTCCAGCAGTGCTAGCCAAATGCCATTTAGCGCTTGTCTACATGTAGAATAGAAAACCAAATTATATGGAATTGACGTAAATTTTGACACTTGTCAGTGTCATCCCCATACATTTTGATATCTACTCTCACTGTAGACAAGCGCTAAAGTGGCGTTTGGCTAAAGGCCCAGGTCCGCCACCCAGTGATCCCTGGGCGGGACGAAGTACGGCTCGGAGACCACGGCGACATTGATCGACCACTGCGCCATGCTCTGGAGCAGGAGATCCTGAGCAGCGGCGCAGTGGTTGATGTTCGCCTGGAGGAGGCGGAATGGGGCCATTATTGGCAGTCCATCCCGACCTCCTCAGTGGCGGCAGCGGCGACTGCGGCGGCAGTGGCGGCGGCGGCGGAAACGACGGGGGCGGCGGAGGGCCTACTTTTGGCCTTGGCTTTGGCAGGAGGGGAGCAGCCCTTACTCCCGACCCGGTGATTGGCCGGCTTGCCAGCCGCCGCACATGCATTGCAGTGCAGCGGGGCGGTACACGAGCCAGCCTTGTGACCGGGCCGACCGCAGCGGAAGCAACAGTCGCTGCGGTCCACCTCCGAGGTGCATTTAACGCTCACGTGTTCGCCCACGTGGCAGCGATAGCACCTCAGAGGCCGGGTCTCGAGCAGCTTGACCTGCGCCGAGACCCATCCCACCAAGAGCCTTTTGCCCTCCTTCAGCTTCTTGGCCGCTGTGACGGGGCAGCTCACCACCACTGTGCGCAGCCCCGAGTTGTCCGGACGGATGGTGCCCGCCTTGACCTGGTCAGCAGGGCACCCTCCCGTCCTGGCCACAGCGGCCACCACCTCACTCTGCGTTACAGAGTCGTCCAGGCCCATAATCCTGACATCCAGGCATTTGGTGGGCCTGGACACGCGGGCCTCGTCTGCCCCGAGGCACGCCCTAAGCCTCTCAGCCAGGGCGTCGGCCGACGGGCCACTGGCCGCGCCGGGGACCTCCAGTAGACGGGCTCCGGTAGCGGTCACCTTGACCGCAAACCCGTCCGGGGCCCCGAACTCCGCAGGTGTTACCGCCCCCTTGAGCTTGGCGAGGACGTCGCCGTAGGTAACGCCCCTATTGACCGCCTCGGGCTGCAGTGTAATAACCACAGCCGCGGTCTTAGGGGCGAGGAGCAAGGCAGCAGCGCGTTTCTCCCTGCGCTGCTGCTGCTGCCGTCGCTGCCGCTGCGCCTTCTTGCGGCGCTTCCGGCCCTCCCTGGCGACTCTCCTCGTCTCGCCGGCGATTTGCCACCCGCCGCCGTCCTCCACTCGTGGGGCGGGTTCCGCCGCCGCTGCTGCAACTCCCTTGCCGGGCTGGAGTTCTCCTCCTTTTTTTGCGACCCGCGGGCGCAGGCGCCGTCGGCGCAGCCGGGGTCTGCACCGGCGGGGGCGCCGAGGGCCTCGCGGGAGGAGGCGCTCGCGCTTTTGCCGGCGATTGGGGACCGCGGCCAGCCTGACCAGTGGAGGTCGAGGGCTTGGCCGCAGCGGCCGCATACGAGCGCGGGGACGCAGGTGGGGCGACCTGATTCGACGCTAGCGGGGGGCGAAGGAGTCGGCCCTCCAGCACGTCGAAACGACGCTGGAAAGCCGCCATCTCCCTGCGCAGCAGACCGACCACGTCGGCATCCGCTGAGGGCTGGGGCTGGGGATGATTTTCCCGGGCAGCGGCGAGCCCGGCCCTAGCCGATCGCAGCTCGGCCTCCAGAGCCGCGTTGGAGGCCGCCAAGCGCGCCAACTCCCGCCGCATCTCCCCCAGCTCCTTTTGTACCCTGTCAGCGGTGGGCAGCGCACACCGCTCCAAGGCCGCCGCCATGATGGCGGACTCCGCCGCGTTCAAGATGGCGACTCGGCCCTGCACCGTCTTCTTCGAGGCCACCTTGCGGAGCTCCTCCTGCACGGCCAGGCGGAGGCTCTCGGAGCTGCGCTCACTCTCGGAGAGCTCGTTCTCAGGCATCTCCACGCCGGACATCTCAGCCGCAGAGGACTCAGCCGAACGGGCAGCGCTTGAGAGAGCCCTGCCCTCCGCGGCCAGCTGCTCGGCTGACTCCGCGCAGGCAGCTGGTGCCGGTTTCCGGCGACCGCTGCCCTTGCCGCCCCTACCCCGCGCTGCCGTGGGGACCTTGGGGGGAGGCGCCTCCTGAGCGCCGGAGGACGGGGACAAACTGTCCTCCTCCAGCCTGGGGCGCTTGAACGTCCCCGTCGCGCGGCGGCGTGAGCCTTTCGAGCTCACGCTCAGCCGCTCCGCCAATGTTGTGTCGGACTCTGAGTCCGACCCCCTCCGACTAGACTCCCGTGTGTGGGGCCTGCTGGACGAGTCCAGCGCCTCACCACGAGTCCCGGAGCCACCTGGGCTCCCCTCTCCCGCTACCGCAGGCGAGCCAAGCTCACCCGCACTCTCCTCCTCCGAATGTGGTTTTTTGTTTGTTTTGACTTTCTCCATAAAGTTCCCACGAGTATGGGGGAAATATTCGGTCCACCCAGGCAGTGCCCCCTGTACCTGGGTAAGTGTTCATTTGTTTCCCAACTAGAGGTTCCACTGGTCCCCTAGCTGGGGGTGCGCTCGCGACTGACACTACTCCTCAGCCATGCATACTCTCGCCGCGCACCAGAACTTAGTATTGGAGGAATTTTTTATAGAGGTTATCTTCCTCGCGGTCCGGGCGACCAAGCCAAGACCCTCGTCCCGTTCAGAGTCACAAAACATGACCGTGACCTCCTTACGGATTACGATATCGACGGCTGCAATCGGGGACAGCTTGTGTCCCGATGCTGCTCGCTGGCAGGGTGAGTGCACAACGAGCACCGCCTTTGCCTCTCCGCCACGCTCTCTGCTATGTCCAGAGAGACGGGCGGAGAAACGCCCCTCGGAAGCGCGGGCTATGAGCCTCCGCACACAGCCCGCCGCCTCCAGAACCCTATCGGGTTCGCCCGCCCAGTCCAGAAGTCTGCTGCGGGCGACAGTCACTCCAACCCTATCACCCCCGCTAGGGAGACTGTCGCCCGCACCCAGGGTGCACCACGGGGAGGTCTTCTGGCACCGCACCCCAGGTTTATCATATACTAGCTTTTACCCGCGGCTTCGCTCGCGTCACAAAAGGATAAAAAGTAGCCTATGTGACATATACAAATACACACAGCGCCATCTATACCAATAATTTCGTTTTCCGTCGAGAATATTAAATTTTTCCGGGATAAAAATTCAAAGCAATCGGTTTAGTAGTTACGGCGTGAAAGTGGAACAAACAAACAAACAAACTCACTTTCCGATTTATAATATAAGTAAGGATTGCTAGTGCTTGTTGGTATGCCAAGAGAAGTTTGTGTGGGGATAACATAAATTTATACTTACAACCAGCATCATAATTTGTGGTTTCGGAAGATGAACACCACCTCGAACTCTCTCATTGCCAGCAGCAATGCGCTGACGACGTCTAACAACGAAGACAGCATTTGAAAATGATGATACAATAGAAGAATCCATAAAGATACTTTGTATAGTGATTTAGGTTTCCCACAGGCTTAAAAGATTTGTCTTCTTACCGATTAAGATAATGTGTGATGAAATGCTTCAAATCATTTGTGAATTTTATTTGTGTGTAACGTTCACACGAGGGTCCTGGGCCAGACTGAAATCACCGTCAAATAATATAATTATTATTATGGAAACTTTGGTGGAATAGTTTTATCTAGTTCTAGCTATTTTATGTGACCTATTCAAGTTCAACCAGAAAAATATCAATCTTTCACAGCGTAATTTTGCTGTGTTTGATCTGGTACATAAGTGAGAGTTCCATAAGTCGAAATCGCTGCGTGATGATTGTGCGATCAGATCAGAAGCCCTTCCGAACACGTTGGTGCAATTAGGTAGTTTCCAGGGTATCAAAATTAAAAATCGAATTAGTCCGTCATAATGACAAAATATTAGACACGTGTTTAATTTTCTCGTATTAAGTTGCAAAATTTAGATAAAACAGCGCTAAGTTTAGGTGTGGGAGGTCGTTACGTCATAACGTATTTCAAAATGTGGCACGCTGTGACGTCACATGATATTTCAAATTAATATCGTGGAAAGTATTTAATTTTGTGCAAAAAGAAAATATATGTGTCTAAAGTTTTAAATTACCTAATCTACCAGACGGACATTAAAATTAAATTTAGGAAACTACCCTATTAAGGAGTTTCTTACATGAAGTTTCACAGCGCACTCGTAAAACCTCTGGTGGTGACGGTGACCACTTACCACCAGGCGCTTACCGTTTAGAAATAAATAAACTCAAGCTAATATTACATCAGGAAATTGACAGGCAATATGTCGCCCCTTCCCCTGACAGAGTCTCCTGTATCTGACGGCGCAGTACTGGTGTTCCTCGGGGATGGCTACGACAAAGCTTGCTAGGGACATCCACAACAATAGCCAACGGCACATGGTGAGGTTAGCTGGAAATGGGATGAGTATTTAGTACTTATACCTCACCTCAGAGCCAGGCCTCGACATGAATGGGCCGGCTTGATTGAAATAAATGAATTGAAGGTGTTACCGGGGGAGTTTCAATCTTCCCTCCTATTCACACAATGGCTGGCAACGCACTTGTAACGCCTCTGGTGTAACGAGTGTATATAGGCGGCGCTGATTGCTTACCATCAGGTGATCCGCATGCTCGTTCGAAGCCCATTCACATACAAACAATACTTAGTAACTTTTGAAATGATAATCAACAACCACGAAGTCCACTACTGGACTATCGGCCTTCTCTGTATTATAGGGTTTATCATAATCTTCAAGCTAGGCGAGGCTAGGAGACCGCAGTTCTTAAGGTTCTTATTTATCAAACAGCAGTACAGCCTGGTATCCTGACGCAAAGAACTATTACCAATGTACCAAAACTCACCGATTACGCAACTTTGGACTTAACACTGCAATACCACATAATAAAAATTGATAAAAACACAATACTGAATTACAAAAATATGACAATACTACATAACTTTAACGTAAAAATTGTATCAAAAGTTTTTCAGCGGTAGGAGAGCCAGCTGTTTACAAATCCTACAAGTGGCATGTTGACATTTGACATAATATGAAGAATAATTCTGATTTTTTGTAAGAAGAGGTTGAATGTAGATGAAAGAGTATATGTATACTCTATAGGTTTTGTTAATCCCTCACAATATGTTAACCTTTCTCTTAAGAGTATTTCCCAATAGAGCTGATGCCGATACAGAGCCGCGGAGGGCTTACGGGTTGCCGGGACCCCGGCTCAAAATGCATTTAGATATATTTAGCAGATTGTTTCTCCATTTGGGGCTTGAACCCAAGACTTTTTTTTTAAGGGGTGAAAATCATCGAATGACTGCTCCCCCCTGGGTGAGGCGGGAGGGAGTGTCAGACTCTTACTGACTAAAAACCACCCCGTTCCTTCTCCTGCACGTCGAGTCGGAGCCCCGGTTACCCGTTAGGTTCTCCGCGTCCTGAACCCAGGAGTATATAGATGGATCTAAATCGTAAATACCAATTTTATTTTGGTTGTAATCTACGTTTACGGTTTTAGTGTATTTCTTTTATAGACATTTCTAGTCTGGATATCTGGATGTCCAGTTAATTTTGAGCCTAAGACTGTGGGTTTAAAAAATATTTTCTAGACAGGTGGTGTTTAATAAAAATCCATAATCAATAAAAGTCTCAAGTAAATAAAGCTGTTTTAATAATTTAAATCTTTTTATTAACTGAAATAAACCTTACAAATAATTATTTAACTCTGTATTTCACTTAAACATACAATACTATATAATATTTATAAATTAAAATACTAACTTAAAGCAAAATATAATGTTGTGTTTCATATAAAGTAGAAAAAAAAAAAAATTAACAACAATTATTTATTTAAATTTAAAAGATTTAAATTTTTAAAACAGTACATTGTCATATCTAAATTATTCGAACGTTTTATTTATAAGTGAGATTTTTTATTAAATTTAAATAAATGCATGTTCATTTTAACATGTTAAAACATAGATTTTTAATTTAAAATGAAATTAACGTACTTGTGTCGTTTACATTTTAGGTTATTATGTGAAATTGCCGGTCAAAGTTGATAACTAACGATTGTAACTACAAGCATTATACATACATAGTAAATGAATTAAATAAATCATTATCATAAAACTTCCATGATGGTATAAATATTATAATTCATTTCTTTGCTGACATAGATTTTTCGTTTACCATTCTGTTTTCTGTTTTCAAAATGAGAAGATATAGAACAAAAATGCCTTCAAATATTGATACTATTGCATAAAATTCAGTAGAAAGAATACTTTATTTTGCGTTAGAACATCTCTGTCTAGCCATCAGGGAAAGATACAGGCAAAAAGGTAGGTTTTAACACAGCATATTTTAGAAGCACTTTTTTCAACATCTTTCTCAAATAAACTAAAAATCGCGGGTTACTCACGTGAGAATACTAAGAAAAGCTCTACCAGTTTCGAACCACAGAGAGGCTCTCAGTATTTTCACGCGAGTAACCCTGGATTTTTAGTTAATTTAGTATGTCTCACGATAGTTATTATAAAAAACGTCTTTGTCAAATAAATGAATTACTATTAGCGGTAGTTAGTTGCCATAAGTTGTTTTTTTTAAGACTTATTATTCTTTTTTAATCTGATGGGCAATAATGGCATGCAATAGAGAGCTTATACTTGCCCAACCAATCTAATATTAGTAGATAGAAGCAGGACAAGCTACTCCAATGTTCTTAATGGATTTTGAACTTTATTACACAGGTATAAGATTGTAAATCTATTACATAAGTTTCATTGTCTTGGGTAGCTTGACGTGCTGTCATTAGTGCAATTTTGAGAGATGTCACAATATTTTCTCAAAAGTTTGACATTTGATTATTAATCAGTGAAAATTAATTGTGTCTCCAAGCTACCAATAGATATACTTTGAGATCATTTATTAAAAGTTATGTTGTAAAAAAATTTTGGAAGTATGACTAGGGCATTTCGCAAAATGACCAACCACAAGACAAAGTTGCCATAATAAAAAAGTAAAAAAAAGACGAAAATAATACACTTATTTTATGTAATAATATCCGGAATAATGATACTTTTTACAGGATCACTTTAATGATATTTCTTTAATTAATTATAATTATTTTTATTACTAAATAAGGCATAAAAATATTTATGTTGGACTAAAAATGATTTATTAAGTTGCGTACAAATTTAGCTCGTAATAATTAATTATTATTTAGATAAAATACGTCTTTTATACCTAAGGCTATAATACAAAATTGTGTGTGAATATTGTGGCAGGACCTTGGACATTTTTAGCAACCATCTTGAAAAAAACCATAGCAAAATATTAATAACATTACACCATATTGTTTGTCACAACAAACTCAAGAACTACTAAACCGATTTTGATTTAATCTTTTACTTATACAAACCTACATTCATATAGTAAGAATCATAGAATATTTTTTATTCTATACAGGGCCTTTAGCCAAACGCCACTTTAGCGCTTGTCTACAGAGAGAGTAGAAATCCAAATGTATGGAGATGACACTGACAAGTGTCAAATTTATATCTATCCCATATAATTTAGTTTTCTATACTACAAGTAGACAAGCGCTAAATGGCATTTGGCTACAGCTGCTGATACGACCTAGCTGTAATCTATCTAGCTGTAGATTTCTTTTCTAGAAATAGAATTAAAATACATTTCAGCTAAATCTATAGATACTAGCTTTTACGACCTGTTGTTGGGACAGTCTTAATTCAGAGGATCAAAGTCACAGGGAAAACCAGTACTCTACTTTATATCGACCTTAGCTCACATATACAGTAGCTTACTAGTCCGTCATATCAATTTTCGACCTTATATTTTAGATTAAAAGCGGAAAATTCAATGTAGACAAATCCTAACAGATTAGAGTGGCTTCATTTTCTCGCAGCTGTAAAGTCACAGTATAATATTTTATATTGTTCGTGAACCCGCGCTGTCAAATGGGACTGGTCAGCTCCAGACTGTATTTTAAGTTGTCCTCAAGGTTATTTTCATTTTCCGTCTCCTTAACCAAATATTGGTATTACATTGTTCTCACATAATTGAACTCAACGAAAGAATGTAACCAAAAATTGTATTGTGAACATGATTGAAAAAGAGTAACCTATGGAGTTTCTTGCTTGTTCTTCTCCATAGGAATCTACACTTTGGAACGAGCAAATAGCTTCACTAGAGGACTCACCTACAGACTGACATTTTTTCTTAATATTTAATATTTTGTTTTGACGTTCAAAAGTGCCTTCTTGGTCTAATTGAAATAAATGATTTTGACTTTGACTTTGACATATCAATATAATATCCAAGATCCAGTACAACATTCACAAAAAAATAAATGCATCCACTCAAACAAACGAACGAACGAAACATCATAATATATGTTACACAATTTACATGTCAGTCGTAATCAAAATATTTATATAATAGTCTTATACATAAGCTGCTTTATTTACATCTAATTATATATAGTAGTGACTTTACGTATAGATAAATAACTTTACTTACTAATTATATTCTTATGTTGTAGGTTCATAGGTTACTAGCGACCCGCCCCGGCTTCGCATGGATGGAATATGCATGTATTATGCATATAAACCTTCCTTTAGAATCACTATAATTATCTATTAAAAGAAACCGCATCAAAATCATCTTATTATTCTGTCATATAACATCACGCCTTTTTATTCTGAAGAGATAGGCAGAGATGTAGTTTAGTACCTAAGCTCAATTTACGGCGATTTTCTTGGAATTATATCATTTTTACTGTCTACTCATACGCAATATCAGATTCAATTTGATATCAAATTTCGAAATTCGATTTCGATATTTCATTTTCAAACAATCGAAGTCAAAAATACTATTCTTTTCTCAATCATCAAACTCTTTTGAGTTGTATATAACCTCGTATATTCGAGAAACAGTTCATTTCATATTCATTTTACTACATTCAACTATTTATTTGAAAAGCTTCACAAAACCATACAAGGCCTGCCTACCCTACAAACCTACAACATAATGTGATGATACGCATATTATATTACATCGTTGTCCTTTTCACATACAAACTTAGAACAACTTAATATAATAAAAAAAAAACATAAAATTTACGCAAAATTTTTACGTCAACTGTAATTTGTCTTTTATTTTTTATATTTCTATTTTTTTTAATGGAACATTTCAATTGTGATTTGTATGTAGTTCATAAATAATAATATTAAAATTGATTAGTAATGTAAAAATGATAGGTATTACTGGAATGAGATTTATTTTCGCCAATTTAAAAAAAAAAATCATGTAACCTTAATGGTTTTATGAACAAAGTATTACATAAGATGATTACTTCATTATTTTAAATTAGTTCATTTCTTTGCGATTCAACGTTAAAAAATAAATAAATTATAAATAAACATAGAATTAAAATGTTCCTTAAAAACTTCACATAATATAATTTATTACAAACATTGCAAGCATTCCATTTGCTAGCTAAAATATTCTAATTTCATTAAGAAAAATAAATATATTAATTACAAATATCGATAGATCATCGGTTACATTAGAATCGATTTGTCAACCTTTACAACGTGACATCACTAGGTATTTACCTCGATTTAACTGATGTGGTTTACCAAACCGTACATTACTTTTTTAACTCAATAATATTTCATTCATTTCCAATTTTAAACATCTCTAGACGTCACACAAAGCATTTTCTAAATCGATACTTTTGTCGATAAAAAATATTGTTTTTACAATCTCTATTTCATTTTATCGATTCGACAAACCACACTAGTTATCATTAGAAGCCCTTAAAAATAATAATTATGAAAAATATAAATAAAAAATGCAATCAACCCCTAACTCTACGAACGCAGTCGAATTTTTTTAAAGCAACGACTTTTAGTAACTGTTGGAAGATGGCGATTATTAATGTTTTGAGATTACTTTTCATTGTTACAGATCATTATCATTCGTTTTAATTACCAACCGACTTCAAGATGATTTCAACTATAGCTATTATTGATTTTTTTTGTGCCTTTTATCTCCCCGAAGACCACGCAGAGGTGAACATTACCCGTACGCGGCACTACGGCACGTCGTATAATGAAACAATATCTACTTAGATAAAACGAATCAACGTTTAGGAGTGGGGGCTAAAACGTCATTTCATAGTATAAAATGTACATAGAAATGACGTCACGCGACATTTCAAATCACTATATCTTCGAAACCATTCGTTTCCGTAAGAAAATAAAAAATACGTGTGTAATGTTTTTAAATAACCTACCAGACGGACGTTGAAATAAAAATTAGTCGGCTACCCTATTTTACCAAGACATAAAATATGTAAAGAGCCATCTTCCCACACACTAAAAGTTAATACATACGACCAATGTATCAGTAACTAGCATACTAAACGTGCGCAACGTTTAAACATGGTACAAATGAGAGTATTTTGGCAACTTCTTTATATTGGAAGTGTTATGTTAACTGTTACTTAAGAACTACGCTATTTTTTATTTGTATTCATTTTTATACAAAAATCGTTTTCATTTTATTTATGACGCCGTTCATGGATTTCGCGCGTGGGTGTTCCTTTTTTAGGGTACTTGTGTAATAATAGGGAATAGTTTTAAGACGTTATTTGGAGATGTGTTCTTAAATTCAACTACGGTTTTGAGGTTCAAAGCTGACCACTAGAACGACGACCTCATTTTTGAAGTCGGTTTAAAAAAATGTATTAGCTATGTTACGAAATATTTATAGATCAAATTCACTATTATATTTTATTATTAACTGTAATTGCTTATTTATATTCCTTCCCTGGACTTTCACGAATATGTTAAAACCAACATATGCCACATCGGTTCAGCAGTTCTCGAGTTTTAGCGAGACTAACGAACGAAAATTCATTTTTATATAGATAAAGATTATATTCAACAAAGCTTGAACGAATATCATTATATAAATTAAGATCTTTGACTGCCAATAGAAAACTACTGAAGACAAATCCTCTAACGTCGGTCACCAATGACCCCGATGGAGTTGGCGATTTATTTATTTATTTTATTTTAAAAGACTTCATGCACACACTTATGTACAAGGTGGGCTTAATGCCTAGGGCATTCTCCTCCAGCCAGACCTTTGGGTGATGCAGTGACAAAAACAATGGTCGATGCAAGAAGCAAGCGTATTTAGGACTAAACAGTCAATTTATGTGTCAAATGTGGCTTTTAGTAATGTAATAAATGTAACTTTGAAGGCAAAAATACCAATTACAGTGTTCCTTTATAAACGTCTTTAAAATATTCTCCATTACTAACACAAGACCCTTACATCAGTTTTTTTAGCGACACAATTTTATAGAAATTCCACTTCAATATGGGTATCAACAACTTTTTATTTGCAACAGCAGTCTTTAACCTTTATATTTATTTATCTATAACATTTTCACTTATCATTTAACAGTTAGAAAATCGGCGTTATTTATCAAGCGTCCTACTTATTTTCTTTTAATAAATTATCACGTATTTTAACACTACAAAATATATCTAATTTGTATCTGTACCATAGAAAATTGGTGTTCAATCGAAACTGGACGTTACACTAAATATAAGCTTTTGTAAAAATAATAAATTTATTCAAAATTCTCGTTGGCTGCCTGACGTCATTCACCGCGCTTACTGCTTATGATTGTGAGCCCCAATCATAGTCTGAAACTAGTCGAACATACTCGAATCGCATCGTGTTAAAGCTATGTAGTTTTATAAATATACTCAAGAAAAATCTGTGTGTAATTCAACAAGCTATACTTAAATTGTTTTACATTTTTATCTATTTCACTAGTTGTTAGTGTACCAAGGATTTCCCCAAAGTAACGCTTGATTCTATTCTATATTTATACTCTTACCTATGATTGTATAAGGCAAGACATAAGCATTTATAAAAGAAAATAATTAAATTTTCAAATCCAGTTACAATTAAACACCTACAAAACAAAATATAAATTGTATCGCTAAAAAATATTCATAGTTATCACGCTGGCTGTCAACCAATGGGCTCATAATATCATACAAATACGATACCTAACTGAGTATTTACTTACAAAACTTCATATTTTGAGCAATGCACTACGTGTGTCCTATGTACAATACATACATACATTGTCTATATACAATCGGTGTTTGTATCTGAAACAATGGAAAAAGGACATTAAATTATTGTGAGTTAAGGACTATTTTCTATTAATTTTTATTAGAGGCGTCATGTTTATGGAAGCTAGGAGCCAGGTAGTTTTTTTTAATATTTGATGGGCCGACGTTTGATCACTATCTCGCCTGGTGGTAAGCGATGATGCGGTCTACGATGGAGCACGTCGTTCCTTAAGCAACCTATTCACTCGGGCCTTGAAGACACCCAGGTCATACAGAAACCCTTCAGGAAATACAGACTCTGGCAAAGAATTCCATTCCTTAGCAGTACGCTTGAAGCTTAATGCGAAGCGCTTCTTGCGTGTGGGTGGGATATCTACCATGAATCAGTAAGTTAATAAACAGTAGGTTTATTATCCTTCTCTACAATGAAAACGGGGTTTATCATAATACAGTTCTACACGTTTAGCAAGCGGGTTCGAGATGGTAATTAAATAGAATTAGGTTTATCAGAGAAAATGTCCGATCACTGTTAAATGGGAGTTATTAAATTAATTATATATAGACATAGTTGGTTGTCTAATGTTGCTTGTAGCATTCGAATTCAATATTAAGCAAAATATAAATGTCTAACATTTAATCTATCTTTTTTTTAACAAACTATGTCATATCGCAATATTTGACAGTTACGGGTTTAGGATAATTTAATATAAGAGCTATGGACAAATCTGACAAGCTTGCTATGGTTCTCAATGCTTGATTAATAAGTAGCCTTCCATAGTAAGACGTTAGTTTTTCTATGGATTCAGTATGCATATGTAAGCACCATGTTAGACTATAAGATTTTTTATTTTTTTTTATTTTTTTTTTATAATTGATGGGGCGACGTTTGACCACTATCTCACCTGTTGGTAAGCGATGATGCGGTCTACGTTGGAGCACGTCGTCCCATAAGCAACCTATTCACTCGGGCCTTGAAGACTCCCAGGTTATACCCTTCAGGAAATACAGACTCTGGCAAAGAATTCCACTCTTTAGCAGTACGCACAAGGAAGCTTGAAGCAAAGCGCTTCGTGCGTGTGGGCGGAACATCTACCATGAATCGGTGACGCTTCGCGGATTGTCTTGTGGTACGATGATGGAAAGGACTAGGGGGAATCAAGTTGTGCAATTCCCCCGCACACTCCCCGAAATGTATCCGGTAGAAAACCGAAAGGCTTGCAACCTTACGCCTGTGTTCGAGGCTTTGAAGCCGAGCCTTCACAAGCGCATCATCGTCGATGAGCCTCCTGGCACGCCTCTCAATGTGCTCTAACGCGTCCAGCTGATATTTAGCCGAGCCGTCCCAAAGATGAGAGCAGTACTCCATACAGGACCGAACCTGTGCTTGGTACAGGCTCAGCAATTGTTTCGGCGTGAAGTACCGTCTCACCCTCCAAAGGACACCCAACTTCCTACCAGCCAGTTGCGCTTTTGACTCTATATAGGAGCCAAAGTTGAGCGTGGGCGTCAGAGTTACACCAAGAAGCTCAAGACGATCGGTTATCGGTACGGATACATTCCGGAAAGTAGGAGTCAGCGGAAATTGACTCCGTTTGGCGGAGAATAGACACGCCTGGGTCTTGCTAGCATTGAACCTAACCAAGTTGGCGTCACCCCAGTCGGACACCGCCTTCAAGGTCGAGTTCAAACGTTCGACCATGGATTCTCTTAAAGACTGGATCTGTGTTCCGCTAGTCCGCGCACCGGACACATACCTTTCAACAACTGTGCTGTCATCTGCATACCCAAAGATACCGGGCTTAAGCAGGTCGTTTATGTGCAGCAAAAAGAGCGTCGCTGAAAGTACTGACCCCTGAGGGACGCCGGCATTAATACCGAATTGGTCAGACGAACAGCCATCGATGACTACTCGTATTGACCGATCCCTCAGAAAGTCTGCTATCCATCTGCACAGACCAGTAGGAAGTCCATATGCAGGAAGCTTGCCGATTAGACTGTCGTGCCATACCCTGTCAAAGGCCTTCGAAATATCGAGGGAGACTGCTAGTGCCTCTCCGTGCCCCTCTATGGCCTCGCTCCATATGTGAGTGGCATACGCAAGAAGGTCCCCAGTCGATCGGTTACGTCGAAACCCGTATTGCCGATCGCTGAGGAGATCGTTACCTTCAAGGTATGCCAGGAGTCTATTGTTAAGAACACGTTCCATGCTCTTGCAGAGTATGGACGTGACCGAAATAGGGCGGTAATTGTTAGGGTCGGCACGACTACCTTTTTTAGGCACAGGCTGTACGTTGGCCAGCTTCCAAGCAACCGGTACTAGACCCGTCTCCAAGGAAAGGCGAAACAGACGTGTCAAGATTGGAGACAACTCAGGCGCACAGGTTTTTAAAACCAGGGCTGGGATTCCGTCGGGACCACTGGCCTTGTTCACGTCCAGATCGCGTAGCGTCCTATATACCTCCCTCTGTCGAATGCGAATTTGCGACATATTCGTCTTGCATACGCTATTAACAGAAGGAGGCAAGGCGCCACCAGTGTCAAGACGCGAAGACTCCGCAAATAGAGAAGCAAATAGATTTGCTTTCTCTACCGCAGTGTGAGCCAGCGTCCCGTCAGACCTCAGGAGCGGAGGAAGTGAGGAGCGACAGAAGTTCGATTCAACCGCCTTGGCCAGGGACCAAAAAGCTTTACTTCCCGCTGGGTAGGAAGCTAGTTTGTTCCCTATACGGCCAATGTGGTTAAATCGAGCCATCCGTAATGCCTTTTTGCATGACTTGGCAGCCCGATTAAAGGCTCTCTTCTTTTGATGAATGTCATCAGCCCTACGGCGCCTGGCACCCGCCCATGCCAAGTATGCCGCCTGCTTTTGCGCTTCGGCACGTCCGCAGTCGGCATCGAACCAAGGACGGGTCCCACCAGAGGATGCCACGTCCGAGAATGGAATGTAGTATTCCATGCCCTGGTGCAGCACCCCCGTTACGGCTTCCGCACAAGCTGACGGGTCATCAGAAGAGAAGCAGACAGGCCGCCAAGGATAGGAAGCGAAAAAAGATCGCATCCCATCCCAGTCCGCTGACTTGTATCGCCACATCCGCCGAGGTCCTCTGGGACTCGGATCTGGTGGGGAGTGTGTCGATACAGATTTCACCAGACAGTGGTCAGAGCTACCTAGAGGTGATGAGACTGTCACCGAGTAGCGGTCTGGATCAGTTGTCAGCAGAAGGTCTAAGCAATTGGCAGTGTGCGTATCGACATCGGGCACCCTTGTGGCTTCCTGGACCAGCTGGGTCAGGCCAAGCGAAAGCGCAAGCTTACGCATTTCCCTTCCAGCATGGTCGGTGCACTGGTATGGGAATAACCACTCCTGATGATGAGCGTTAAAGTCCCCCAGTAACACCAACTGGGCCGAAGGGTACGCCTGACGAGCCGCATCCGCCGCTTCGCCGAGGTATTGCGCTAATCTGGTCGCCTCCAAATCTCCGCTGTGCGACCGATAGACACAGGCATAAAGAATTTTCTCCATGCCTATGTCCACCAGTATCCAGAGAGCAGAAAAGCTTGGGTCTTCAAGGTTTCGGAGACGCCGGTAACAGATGCCGTCTCGGACGTATACGCATACACCTGCATGCGGAACAAAATTGTGCTCCAGGGAAAAACCAGGGTAGTTCAGGTAGGATACGTCCGACGGGCACCTGATCTGGGTCTCCGAGAGAAACAAGAGTGTAGGGTTCTCGGTCTCGAGGTGGTGATGGACCGCATTGACATTAGAGTGCAAACCTCGAATATTTGAGAGGTGCACTATGTAGGAGAGGGAGTGCAGCCGCTGTTGAACCCTTTTCTTATTTCTCAGTGTCATAATGTAGAGTGGAAGGTTGCTGAGAGGATGGCAGTGAAATGGTCCCCCACGCAGGCGACCCCACGACGCGCACCGTAGTTAACTACACCATTGGGAGGCCAGTCTGGAGACTGCGGGGACGCCCGAGCCCCCCCACGAATATCCATCGGGCCCTCTCCTCCGGTCGCCAACCGGCACGATGGCGTATCCATGGGATTTTTCGCTAGATGGCGGGGCAGCCTTTCACGTGTGGCTAGCACGCTAGTTGGGCCCCCAACTATCTGCGGTCGGCCAGCGGTGCACCGTGCCTCGGATCCCGCTACCCCCCTCCGCGACTGGACACCCGGTGTAGCTACACCAGCGCGCGCCAGACCGGCTATCCTACAGTGGAACAACCATCTCGACCCATCCTCTCATACGGCGTCACCGAGCATCGTGGCGGAACACGGCTGGGCCGCTTGGCGACACGCTTTTGCTCGATGGGTGGTCATAAAGCCGGCGGCCGAAGCCTACCACCAAAGATTATTTTAGTAAGTTATTAGTATAATGCGTCAAGCGTGTCTTTGCATTGTTCTTACATATGCGTACAGTATTGAAATATGTATCAGAGACATTGTAGATCATAATTTTTTAAAAAGAGTAACGAATGGAGTTTCTTGCTCGTTCTTCTCCATTCGAATCTAAATTTTGGAATGAGCACCTAGCTTCACCTAGTTTCACTGACGGACTGATTGACAGACTATTATTTATTTTGTATTTGTTGACGTTTCAAAAGTACCAAACTATGGTTTAATTGAAATAAATGCTTTGACTTTGTTCACATAGTGACTTTCCTTAATAATAATTTTATAGTAATAATCCAGCATAGTGACCGTGTCAGTGATGGCGCGGCCGCTTGTGGTGCGGCAGCGGCGCGGCGTGGTGTCCGAGCGTGACGAGCGCGGAGGCGACGGCCAGCCCGCCCAGCGGCGGCGCGCGCCCCGTGCCGCCCGTCGGCAGCCGCACCAGCAGCGACAGCACGGCCGCGCGGCCCCCGCGGCACGGCTCCAGCGCCACCGGCGCAGGCACGCCCGCTCCTGGGGACAAGTCCCATCTAAGCACTCGTGGTAGACAACATTGTATTGTGATGATCGCATTCATATCACAGACGTTTGAAATAAAATTTAAATAGACATTAGAAATTACTATATGTACCATACTCTTATTAATTTGCAATGCAAAAGTAAAACACTGCATTCAAATAGTTACTTAGGTTTAATTTTTAATCTAACCGTCTCTGTACTACAGAGATATTCTTCCACTACTATTATGCTTTTATACTTCTTACTAAAATTGTAAATGCGAAACTTTGTGTTTCCGTTCCATTGTGAAATACATACAATATATATAGTGGCCTACATTCTGTACATTTTATTCAAATGTACAGATAATACATTTATAATTGACTATATTGGCCTAATGCGTTGGCCTAGTGTAAACAGGGACATTTACAATACACTATATTGGCCCAACGCGCTGGATCAAGCCGTTGGCCTACTGTGTAGACTCGCCTTATTGTTTGTTACACAATCACACCAAAACAATTGAAGATTAATTAGATGAAGTTTGAAAAGAATGTAGTGATGGTCTAGAACGACAAAGGCGGGCGACGCCGCTGGCAAAAGCTAATAGTCTACAAAGTCGATTAACTATTTCATATTTTTACAACCGGCGACAAAGTCCACAATTCATAAAAACGCTGTAATATTTGACATACGAATGTTTAAAAATAGTTCCAAATTCACACTGATTACAGTTGAAAATTCAATACGCTTACCGGCACCTCCCTTCTCCAGCTCAACGGAGACCTGGCTGAATGGCCGCGATGCCATCTGCTCCATCTCCACGAACAGACGCTGCCGTCTTCTATACATATCATATTTCTGCGCCAACAATAACATAGATTAATACAAGTACCTATCATTTTTAATCGACTTGAGGCTGACTTATATTTCTTACTAGAAAATCATCCAATTTCTACCGCCTAAAGATTTTTTCTCGCCTTTTCCCTTCCCCGGACTTCCACAAACAATTGAATATCAAAATTAATCAAATCAGTTCAGTCGTTGTCGAGTTTTAGCGAGACTAACGACTGGAAAATCATTTTTAATTAAATAGATTATGAATGACAATACCATAGTTAAACGGAATAAATTAATAACCGATCTAATTCAAAATATTTCAAAATTTGACAGAAACTCCATACTCGACATTGAAATTTGTTCGAATAGTTTCAAGCTACGCGAGGGCCCATAGTGATGAGCAACATGTCCAACGCTCCCTGCGTCGGTTATTATCATCATCATCATAAGTTAGCCGTATATTAGAGGTCCAACAATCCTCAAATTCCTAACTCCCAAAACACCGGTAACGCACTTGCAACGCTACTGCGATATCTATAAGCGACGCTAATTGCTTACCATCAGGCGATCCGTCAGCTCGTTTACCGGCTTAACCCGTAAAAAATAACTCATTCAAATTACGCATAAAGTTGTCTTAAAAACATAAAAAAATAAGTTATAGACCTGTTTAATCTTCCACAATGCTGCAGCTACCAGCAATAGTAGTAGGAAACACGATGAGAATGTAATGAAGAACTGTTGTAAATTCAACTTAGGGTACTGTGAGAACGATATCTGTATCCACAATGGCGGTCTGAAGTCGTACACGTACACGAAGAACGTCGTAAGCGTCACGTTGTCCTCTACGCCGAATGCGTGCTCTGACTTCGCGAATCTGTGGGGAATAGGGTTTAATTTAGTATGGCAGCGAGGAAGAAGACAAATTTATCCCCGAAGGGATAGGCAGAGGTGCACATTATGCCACTGTACAATGTAACACCCACTTTTCACTATTTATGTTATAAGTCCCATGTAATAGAGGGTGAGCCTATTGCCATATACCGGGCACAACTTCAGACTCCGTGCTACTACTGAGGATTTTTTTAAAAACCCAGTAATACTTTGCCCGACCCGGGAATCGAACCCGAGACCCCCTGCCCCGCAGTCGCACTTGCGACCACTCGGCCAGTGAGGCAGTCTCAAATTTCAGTCATAAATCTTTAGTAAATGTTATAAATTCAAAGTGTGTTTGTTTGATTGTTTGTATTTCTTTCAAGGACTGAAGTAGAACGATTTTATCGCATATTATATCATGATTAAATCATACGTTGTGTCTTAAGAGTTGGGAGGTTTGAAAGCAATATACCAAAGTTATACATTTTTCTTCAGTAAGGTGCGTTTTAATCCTTTTAATGGCAAAAGGAAACTACTTTATCACTTGTCTCCAGTGGCGTTAAATACACATAACATCACGCCGTTTATCCCCGAAGAGGTAGGCAGAGGTGCACACAACGGAACTTAAATAAATAGAATTTTTAAACGTTTCCTCTCGCCCCATTTCTACATCGTTGACATGTCTACAAACTGTTATAACGACGTCTACTAGTCTACTAGACGTTAACTTCACGCCTGCCCACGGGGTAGGCAGAGATTATTATGGAACGCCAATTACTACGATTCCTATATCTCCCTCTTTCGCTTCATCAACATATTTTGATGCATGATTTAGATTAAGGGTCATTTAAATTATAAATATACTTACTTAAATCTAAAACTAGTACAATTAACATCGGAGAATAGCAGTCTTTCAGTGGGATCACTCCTCGTCCGGACAGAAAGATTCATCCGAGCATGCGCAGAGCACGTTATACTAAAGTCCGCGTCGACATCTGGTTTGACGGGAGCATTCCGGAAATTTATTGCTGAGAGGTGTCTGTCCTCTTTCTTTGATAGGTTGAAGGTAAACTGGTAGTCCACTGCCAGGTCATCTGTGGGGGAAAAGATAGAAATCAATCAAGATGTGGGTCAAAAATTAGATCATGCACAAATAATTTTCAATGAATTACGTTTGAAAAACTGCCGCCATTTTTGAAATCGGTTTATACAAGGTGAATTGTAAATCGACCATAATCTCGTATAGGGTTATAGAACAGATCAATACCAACATTTTTGTCAAACAAAAGGATAAGCAGAATTGAACGGTTGTTAAAATATTAAACTTTTAGTTTTAAATTCAAAATGACGCCCTATATAAATGGTAACTCTCAAACTGAAAAAACAACAACAAAAGAAACCTACTTGACCTAAATTTCTTAGCTAAGATTATATATAAATAATATAACTTAGAGGCGGTTTAAAACTAGATAGGGACGGCACGCCATAGGCGTCCTTAATTTGTTTTTGCGCCGTTGTTACTCTATGGGCATTTGAGCACGCGCGTCTTACTGTGCCCTTCTGTAAGCTGGCGCTCTCAGTACTTATCTAGTTTGCCTTTAGGATATACTTTCTATTTAAAAAAGAAACGTTGCCCCACACTAGGATTTTCTCTTGTGCGTATCCCGGGTGCGTTTACAAACATACAAGTTCACATACACATGACACCTAGACCCGAAACAACAATTTGTGGATTACACTCCGTGTGGGAATCGAGCCCGCGACACTTTGTACCAACCCGTGCAGTCAACCACGGCTGCGACGTGAGTGTACTTACAGTAGCAGGCGCCCTTGTTGTGTACGTCTGCGTGGTAGTGGTTGGTATTGTCGCACTTGTCGCAGCGGTCCCCGGCCAGCCCCTTCGTGCTGCAGTAGCAGTCAACCGTGCAGTCAACCACGGCTGCGACGTGAGTGTACTTACAGTAGCAGGCGCCCTTGTTGTGTACGTCTGCGTGGTAGTGGTTGGTATTGTCGCACTTGTCGCAGCGGTCCCCGGCCAGCCCCTTCGTGCTGCAGTAGCAGTCAACCGTGCAGTCAACCACGGCTGCGACGTGAGTGTACTTACAGTAGCAGGCGCCCTTGTTGTGTACGTCTGCGTGGTAGTGGTTGGTATTGTCGCACTTGTCGCAGCGGTCCCCGGCCAGCCCCTTCGTGCTGCAGTAGCAGTCAACCGTGCAGTCAACCACGGCTGCGACGTGAGTGTACTTACAGTAGCAGGCGCCCTTGTTGTGTACGTCTGCGTGGTAGTGGTTGGTATTGTCGCACTTGTCGCAGCGGTCCCCGGCCAGCCCCTTCGTGCTGCAGTAGCAGCGCCCAGTGTCGGCCGCGCACGCTACTGCTTGCGCGTTGCATTCGCACGCTGGAATGATAGAAAAAGTGTTGTTTTGTATATTTTTATATTCGATTGGCCAAAGTTTGACCACTATCTCGCCTGGTGGTAAGCGATGATGCGGTCTACGATGGAGCACGTCGTCAAGACACCCAGGTTATACCCCTCAGGAAATACAGACTCTAAATATAATACATCGATCTTTACACATCTATGCCTACACCTTGCTTTTAATGCGCTTTTTACGCATAGAGTCTTCGAGACAGGCCGTAATATTTTTTATGGATGAGCCGGGAAATGAGCTGACTGATCATGGTAAGTCTTCGGCGTCGCTCATGGACACCTGGAACACCAGAGGAGTTACAAGTGTGTTACCGATCTTTTGAAGATTAGAAATTTGAACATTGTTGGGGATTCAGGGATTGGGGAGATTGAAGAAGAGGGAGGGGATAATTGGGCCCGAAACACAACGCTAGCGTTGTTTCACGTCGATTTTCTGCTCGACTGTGGTATCTCTCCGGTTGAGGCGGCCCATTCGTACCGAAACTAGACCTATTGAAACTAAAAATAAGATTAAACTAATAAAAAGTACAATGTGTACATACGTTGGCAGACGCCCCCGTTGTAGGGCGAGCCCCAGTGTCCGGGCGCGCACTGGTCGCAGTGGTCGCCCACGGTGCGGCCGGCGCAGGGCTGCACGCAGCGCCCCGACGCCGCGCACACGCTGTGTCCGTTGCACTGGCACACCGGACACGCCGTGAAGTGCCATCTACGGGGGAACGGTTTTGTATTATAACAGGTCTAATGAAAATTTGATTTTTACACATCCCTTCAATTTTTACATATTGACTGCCTCGTTGGTTGAGTGGTCGCAAGTGCGACTGTCGAACAAGGGGTTTCCGGTTCGATTCCTGGGTCGGGAAAAGTATTACTGGATTTTAAAAATCTCAGTGTTAGCACGGAGTCTAGAAATGTGTCTGGTATATGGCAATAGGCTCATCCCTTATTACATGGTACTCATAACATAAATAATGAAAAGTGGGTGTTACATTGTACAGTGGCATTAAGTGCCGAAATGTGCACCTCTGCGTACCCCTTTGGAGATAGAAAGGCGTGATGTTGTGTTATGTTAATTGTCTAAATGTAAAAATAAAATAAAATATCCCTACAAAAAATGTAAACATTGATCTTTAAGTAAAAGTGGTTTAAGTCGACCCAGTGAAGTGGCACAAGAACCGACCTGTGGTGCGCGCAGACGCGGGGCGCGTGCGGGCTGCGCGCGCCGCCGGGCAGACAGAGGCCGCGGCCCGTGCCGGCGCCGTCGTCGCACCAGCCGCACGCCGGCTCGGCGCGGCAGGCGCCGCACGACGCGTGCGCGCCGCAGCCGCGCGCCGCGCCGCACGACCCCGCCGCGCCGCCCGCGCCGCTCGACGTCGACCACGCGCGGCAGCCGCCCAGCGGGAACGACGCGCCGTATGCGTTCTGGGGAGGGGAAAATTGTTTTAGGACGATTAATTAATTCATACAAATTGTAAACATCGAATCTACAAAACGTTATCTAGGTCTTTTATCAAAATGTAGTAGCTATATTTATTTTAATTTCATTAATAATTGTATGATAAGACAATCCCCAAATTACTGGCGGTTAGCCAGTAAAAGATCTTTATGGAGATTTTCATTAAATAATGGTAGTTTAAAAGATTTCGTGTAACACCTAGTATGAGATGCAAACAACACTCCATTTTATTGAACTATTACAAAATATTAACATGTCAATGATGTTGGCTTAACAGTAAATATATCCTCCTTTAACGACATTCCCTTTTACTAGACTTTAAACTTGTGAATAATATTCACACAATAAATTCATCCATACCTTGTCAACACATCGTCCCGCGGATGCGCACCAGATACATTCCTCTGCCGTACAGTTAGCGCAAGTCTGGAATGTAGAGCACGGCGCACTACATGGACCCGCCGCGGCCACGCTCCTGTATTAATAAAGAAAATAACTATAATTTTATATTTAAAACTAAAAGACAAGAAGCCAAGAGTAATAAAAATTTAGTAATAAAAAATATGAAAATAGAACTTTTGCGCATTTTTTTTTGTGTATTTGCGCAAAATAGCGCAACCAGTTACTTATTGCACTAAACTTTTATACCTATGTGTTATATTGCGCAAAAATAACAAAACTAAAACATAGCATAAACATAATTTAATAGAGGAGGAAAATAATTTCTATATAGCATACCTTATATCTTCAGATGAATTGACAGGTTTACACTTAATCGTATCGTAGTCCCAGAAACAAGCTCGTTGACTTAATTCTTCAGATCCCTAGGAAAAGAACCGAATCATAAATTCAAACGTCCATTTTTTATTTAACATCAAGATGCATTATTTATATTTTTACTTTCGTGAGACATGCTAAATTAATTATTATGTTTTTCGGCTTACTCGTGTAATTATTAATTATATAATTACTTGAGTAAGCCGAGATACAAAAGAATTAATTTAATATCCATTAATGGACACCCTAACTCTATTTAGTTCCGTGAATCTTTATGAGTTTAATTAACTTTGATATTTATGAGCACTTGTTCACTAAAATATTTTTACTTTTTTTTTGAAAATCTATTGGCATTTTTACAATCTTCTAAGTCCAGGATTATGAAAAATCCACAATATTTGTTCAAAAGTAGTCTCTAAACATTGAATATAAGGTTTATTATAGAGTAAGCGGAGAGCGGTGACCGGTTACGTCTATACTTGGTTATAGAGGCAAATAACGAAGATATAATTGAGATCAACTGCCTTGTTGGCTGAGTGTCCGCTAGTGCGGCTGCCGGGCATGAGGTTTCAGGTTCGATTCCCGGGTCGGGTAAGTATAACTGAGGTTTTTAAAAATTCTCAGTAGTAGCACGGAGTCTGGAATTGTTCCCGGTATATGGCAATAGGCTCATCCCCTATTACATGGGACTCATAACATAAATAGTGAAAAGTGGGTGTTACATTACACAGTGGCAATAAGTGTCGTAATGAGCACCTCTGTTTACCCCTTCGGGCGTAAAAGGCATGATGTAATGTTATAATTTAGATCAATGATAAATGCATTATATTTGTCGGTCCTCACATGTGTATGGTGGTGTTGGTGCGCCAGACAGGCCGCGCAGGAGTGGTACCGGCCGCACGCCTCGCGGGGGGACTCGCTGTCTGACCCGCACTCCTCTATGGACAGCGCCATCTGGAGGGACAATGTTGCATTATTGTTCAACATTCTTCTAGAAAAAAAAGTAACAAAGAAATTATTATTTAACCTCAGGTATGTCGGAGCGTAGATCTCCAGACACAATGCGTCTATCTATTGTGTCTCATATATCAACAGACAAGAGGTTACTTAACCTCTGATCAACTTCGTTCGATGAATCACTTGATAGTTATGATAAAATTCATAAATGCTTTAAAAATAGAATTTATAGATTGCGTCTTTAGCCAAACGCCACTTTAGCGCTTGTCTACCGAGAGAGTAAAAAACTAAATGTATGTGGATGACATTGACTAGTGTCAAAATTTAAGTCAATTCCATATTATTTGGTTTTCTATTCTACATGTAGACAAGCGCTAGATGGCATTTGGATACAGCTGTAGGTATGACGGAACTTAGATCTACGCAAGACACAATGCATCTATCTATTGTGTCTCATATATCGACAGACGAGGTTAACCTGTTGAAATTCATCCCCTAAATTTGTTCATACAAAAGTAGTCTCTAAGCATTGGAAATAAGGTCTATAATGTAGGTAGTGGAGAGCGATCACCGGTGACCGCTTGGGGATCTATGGGTAAGTGATAGTTATGATAAAATTCATCAATGCTTTAAAATTGGGATTGATAGATCAGGATATAAAAGCGTTGTGTTATGACGATAGAAGAATTCATTCACGAGAGATTGAACATCATTATAAGTAGACATTTTTGACAAGAACCATTTAAAAATAATTAGACTCCAGTAGCCTATTTATATAAAAGGGACGATATTACTCGTCAGAAAGTTCTTCCTTTTCAATAAAGGAATATTCTTGTTTATCTGTTTATCTCGTGTTTATTTGAATTTAAGTAGCAATTGCCTGAATACTGAAAGGCTACACAATTTTAAATTGTACTCAAATATCGTGGCATCTCTGTCATTTTACAAAGAAGAGACAGAACTAGTTTTTTTTAAAGGGGGGAATGTCATCGAATGATTTCTCCCGTCTGGGTGAGGTGAACGGGTAACCGGGGCTCCGGCTCGACGTGCAAGAGAAGGAACGGGGTGGTTTTTAGTCAGTATGAGTCTGACACTCCCTCCCGCCTCACTCAGGCGGGAGCAGTCATTCGATGATTTTCCCCCCTTAAAAAAAAAGTATAGTATATGTATAGTAGCACAAACACTGTTCGTGCGTATATAGTCACCTGGTGGGTATGCCGCACGCAGTACATGGCGGACACGTAGCAGGCCCCGCACCAGGCGCAGCGCGCCGCCGTGCAGGCCGCGCACGACTCCGCCATACTGCAGCGCCGCTCGTCTGCGACATGCGGTGCATTATTAATCTATGTCTCGTTGGCCGAGTGCTCGCAACTGTGACTGCCGGGCAAGTGTGACTCTCGGGTTCGATTCCCGGGTCGGGCAAAGTATTCATCATCAACAGCCTATAAATGCCCACTGCTGAGCAAAGCCTCTTCTGACACGGAGAAGGTTTGAGCATTAATCACCACGCTTGCCCAATGCGGATTGGCGATTTCAAACTTATAATTAGAAATTATAAGCCTAGGTTTCCTCACTATGTTTTCCTTCACCGTTTGTGAGTGGTGTCTGAATAATCTTAGAAAGTATATATAACTCGGAAAAAGTCACATTGGTACTTGCCGTTGGTAGGTTTCGAACCCGCACCCATGCATGAGAAGCGGGCGTCTTAAACCTCCGGGCCACCATGACTTTTTTAAACTAACGGGCAAAGTATTACTGGGTTTTAAAAAAAAATCTCCGTATAGCACGGAATCTGGAATTGTGCCTGGTATATGGCAATATGCTCACCTCATATTGGAACTCATAACTACTCAGTGAAAGCTAAAAATCAACTTGTCAATATCGTTAACAAAGCTAGAATATAGCTTCTAAGTATATGTTTTTCTTCTGAATATAGAACACAATGTGATGAAGCAATATGCTTACCCTTACCAAACCTAGGCTCCGTGAGGCACGCCTTAACAGTGCCGTCGAATGACTCTTTCCAGCCCACTTCTTCCAGCTGTAAAAAGATTTAAAAAATATATAATAATATTCCATTTTAACAAAAGAATAAAATTGCTACAGTATAACAATTATTTTTAACCGACTTCAAAATAAATGAGGTTCTCAGTTTGACCTGTGTGTATGTTTGTGTGCGACTATCTGACGATTAGCTGAACCGATTTCAATGTGGGGTTTCAGAAAAGTATTTGTTACACTTAGGAAAAGGTTCGTTTTAGTATGTTAATCAACCGACTTCAAAAAAAGGGATTAGGATTGAAGTCGGTTTTTTTAAACGAAGTTTTTTTTTCTTTTTTTTTCTTAAAAAAAAGCCCCACGCTAGGATTTTCTCCTGTGTCGTGGGTGTTTACAAACATACAAGTTCACGTACACAATGACACCCAGACCCGAAACAACAATTTGTAGATCACACAAAGTGTTGTCCCGTGCGGGAATCGAACCCGCGACACGTTCCACGGCAGCCGGTTGCCCAGCCGCATCAACCGTGCAAGTCAGTTTAAAAATAATATTAGGAAATAAAAAATAGTTTCATCGAACCCTTGTTTTAATTATTTGTATTACCGATCCGACTCGACTGAAGCCTTTAAAAGGAAACAAAGTGTCGATTCACCATGTAAACAGACCCAATCCCCCTCCTTCAAAAGGACGGCATGACACCTGTGAGGCGCTGATAGTAATCCGCCTTCTTGTTTGCCTTATTCCATAGAAGATTTCTCCAAAAACACCAGTCACAAACATAAGTCTTATTCCTAACAAGATAAGATACAAAATCAAGACCTATCTTATCCTTGATTAACTCCCCATTTCACAAAAATAAACCTTATTCTATGACTGCCTCGTTGGCCGAGTGGTCGTAAGTGCGACTGCCGGGCAAGGGGTCTCGGGTTCGATTCCCGGGTCGGGCAAAGTATTAGTACTAAGTATTAGTAGCACGGAGTCTGGAATTGTGCCCGGTATATGGCAATAGGCTCACACCCTATTATATGGGACTCATAACATAAATAGTGAAAAGTGGGTGTTACATTGTACAGTGGTATAATGTGCACCTCTGCCTACCCCTTTAGGGATAAAAGGCGTGATGTTATGTATGTTATGTAAACCTTATTTCTTACACGATAAGATACAAAATGACAAGTTCATCTTATACTATTATATAAAGCGGAAGAGTTTGTTTGTTTGTTTGAACGCGCTAATCTCCGTAACTACAAGTCTGATTTGAATAATGCTTTTTGTGTTGGATAGCGCATTTATCGAGGATGGCTATAGGCTATAAAACATCACGCTACGGCCAATAGGAGCTGAGCAGAGCGTGTGAAACCGCGTGGAAGTAGCTAGTTGTAGTATAAACTAGCTTCTGCTTGCGACTTCGTACGCGTAATCCCATTTGTTCCCGTCCCCGTTCGTGATTCCGGAAAAAAGTAAAAAAAATTGGTTAAAAATCCTATGACGGTCTCCTGGCTCTAAGCTACCTCCCTACCAATTTTTAGCCAAATCTATTCTTCCGTTCTTGAGTTATAAGTGGTGTAACTAACACGACTTTCTTTTATATATATAGATAGATAGTATAGTTACGGGCAAACAAGCTCTGTCGCGCGCCCTCCAGACGCAGGCGACGGCAGTATGCTGCGCGGCAGTGAGGCAGGCCGCCTCGCTGGCGTGGCGCCCGCAGCCCTCGCCCGCCTCGAATATCAGCGCGTCCGACCGCAGGCGCCCGTCGAATCTGTTGCGGAAATGTGGGGCTTGTACAGTCGTCACTAGGATTAAAGTTGCTTGGCTTTGGTGACTATTGAAAGTACTGTTAATGGTAAGGGAGTAATTTGAATATTGACATGTATTGAGAAGACATTATAGTTTTTATAATTATTACTTTTAAGGTTATAAGGTCGACCACAATAAACGATTTCAATCCAAATAAATTCCTATGTTTTATGTTAGAAAAACGAAAGAAAATGAGAATTAATGGTAGTGTCATTACTTTACAAACTCGTATAGATAATAAACACTTTTTACAAACTATTTCGTAATAATAATATTATGATGCAGTGACATACACACACATGTATACTCTTACATACACAACACACTTGCACTTACACACTTACACAAACCCACACACATACTTCCACACACACAAACACTTATACTAAGCGGAAGCAATTTATTTTTTATTGAATCATCGACACTATTAAGAACGGAAGCAAACAAGGAAAGTAAGCAAGAAAAAACACGGTATACAATATGTACAGGTATAACAAGCACTCACCCCGCATGTATGAGTACAGCGCGTCTATCCTTGGTATGTATGGGGGCCGCAGCATGCGCCGCGCGGGCGCCCGCGCGGGGACCCGCGGCGTTCCACCATACTCCGCATCTATACACAAGGAACATGGATTATTACTCGTTCACCTTTTTATACAATAGTTTATTTATTTATTTCAAATAAATAGTATAACATTACAGTCATAAAACCAAGGCGTCATACATTTCAAATAATTATAAAAAGAAAAAAAGAAATAAAACAAAACAGAACAGTCCAAACCTTACAAACTATGACAAGTTTTAATATAGATAGTAGTTCCAGATTAAGGACCCTGAAGTAGCCCGAAACTAGTCGAGCATCTAGTAACTCCGTTACTCTACTCGGATTCGATATAATCCACTAGCGCCTCCGCACTGTCGTTTTGGACGTTATATTTACATCACTAGCTACATACACACATACAAGGTATCACATTTATAATATTAGTAGGATGAGTTTGTGTTTATGTTTGTTACTCAATCACGCCAAAACGGCTAAAGGGATCGGGATGAAATTTAGAACATGGGGTAGTAGTTGGTCTGGAATGACACATAGGTCACTTTTGTCCCACAAGAACGCGGGCGTAGCCGCTGATTGAAGCTAGTCTATATATGTATATAAAAGAAAGTCGTGTTAGTTACACTATTTATAACTCAAGAATGGCTAATTTGGATGAAAATTGGTGGGGAGACAGCTTAGAACCAGGAGACGGACATAGGATACTTTTTACCCAATGTTTTTTTTACTTTTAACCGAAAATCAAGAACGGGAACGGGAAATATCGGGATTGCGCGTACGAAGTCGCGGGCAGAAGCTAGTTTATAATATAAGTAAGAAGTTTTTTCTTCTCCTCTTATAATATCTTCTAATTCACTTCGTTGCGGGAACCAAGACAGTTATTCATGTCCCCGGGACGCGCCGGACTTCAGTGTTCCGGTGTTTTCATGGTTGTATCAACTGTAGATCCTGGCTTACAGGAGTTGCAGCGGTTTTGGGAGTTTGTGGTGGGCTTGTCCTACTTTAAAAAATAAGTTAATAGATTCAAAGTCATACGGTCTAGTTACCTGACATCATAGAGTAGCGCCCCGGCGGAGTAACACTTGGAGGCGGCCGGACTCGCCACTAGCGCCGCCGCGCTGTCGTTGTGGGCATTACCGCCGAATACTAACATTACGCCTGCGAAATAAAAACATACATTGATAAATGGAAAGCGTGATACCACGGCCTCACTGAAAACCGACGTGAAACAACGCTAACGTTGTATTTCGACGTGTGAGCGATGTTACCGGAGGCCCAATTACCCCCCTCCCCAATCTCCCTAAACCAAGAATCCCCAACAATCTTTAAATTCGTAATCCCCAAAAGGCTTGCAATGCACTTGTAACGACTCTGGTATTTCAGGTGTCCATGGGCGACGCCGAAGGCTTACCGTGATCCGTCTGCTCGTATCCATCTGGACCTATTCCATAAAACAAATATATGAGAGTAAAAGTGTCAGTAAGTTTACCTGGTGTAATAAACGTAGCTGTGTGTAAATATCTAGGTGTCGGCGCCGACTGTAGAGGGCGCCACAGTCTTAGTTCTGGATCGTACTCGAAAAGTGATGCTGATGGAGCCTGCAAAATAGACATAATATTTTATTTTTATTTGTTTAAGATTTTGAAGCTCTTTAGATTTGTTTTTTGAGATTGCAGTGAGGTTTTTAAACGTGGGAGATCTATGCAACGCTCAGTTGACAAAAATGGAGTTTATTTATTTATTTATTTTTATTTATACATTTGGAAAACCAACAGCTATACAATTTGATTAAATAGAATGTGGTATGCAACAAGAACCCAATTACTGGTTTCCACGGTTATACCACGGCGTCACACAGAACTGGCGTGATATAACGCTTGCGTTGCGTTTCGCCGTGTGAATGAGATTATATGGGTCCTAGGCTAAAGCAATACACGAACAGTAAGTATAGTACCTGCGTGGCCTCGGACTCCGACACGAGTCCGCCGTGCAGATACACGCGGCGCGACAGTGGGTCCCAGGCCGCCGCGTGACCAAAGCCCGCGCGGGCCGCCCAGCCACGCGTCGCTGCTACTGCCCATACTCCCTCGTCCACGTAATACTCCTAAACAAAGAAGTAGCAATAATAACACGAGGACATTACACACAAAATGATAGCTATTGTAATCATAGAATAGAAAATCACGGTATATGTCGTAAGTAAGGCGGGGTACAAGTATTTTCTGTAATTTGCACGTTTGCAGCATATCAGTGTTTATATATCCGTATCAAACGGGTGACTAAAGGCCCTTGAGCGCAAGACATATGATTGCTAACAATCGTAAGCCATGCTTTTAAAAATGAGTATTTATAACTTTTTTCCATTTTGTGTTCATCGTACAAATGCGACACAGAAAATGAAATATATTATGTCGTTAAACATGTTGTAATATTCTCATCGAAAATAAAAGCTTGGTCGCAAAAAGCGTGAGAATGAACGAATTAAACTAGCTACATAGCTGTTTCCCCAAATTTGTATTGTAACTTTCGTGAGACATACTAAATAAATTATTGTGTTTTCGGCTTACTCACGTAGTAATTTAACGAGGAACTCGACTAGTTTCAAGCCATGCTAGAGGCTCAAACAGAGAAACATAATAATTCCCCAAATTTGTTAGAAACATTATCAAAGTAATTCTGTGTTTCAAAATAGTTACTACTTAAACTGTCAAACACCAAGATTTTGTTGACCGACCTATTGTTCTTTAATTGTGTCTATAAAACCGGTACTCGACGAGTTAATAGTTATGAGCATTTTATAATCTTGATCATGTGACAGTGTAGACCACAGTGCACTTCATTCTATGATTGTGTTTGTATGTCTAATGGCATAGTGTTTGTAATCATATAAATTAAAATATTATTACAATACTAACCTGCACTAAATGTAGGTATCCATAATGCGGTGAATGTCCGAAGAAGACTAACATCACGGGTTTCTTCGTGACTCCTAAGTAGACCAGTACAGCTGTGTGTCCAGATACGTGGAGACCACCTGAAAGAAACAAGAAGAAATTTCAGAAACCCACTTAATTTTAAACCTAACACAAAGATCAATAAGGTCCACATTAGCTTACAACAACAGTTTTTTTTTATTGCATAAGCCGATAAACGCGCAGACGGATCACTAGATGGTAAGCAATCGGCATCGCCCATGGACACCTGGAACACCAGAGGCGTTACAAGTGCGTTACCGGCTTTTTGGGGATTACGAGTTTGAGGATCGTTGGGGATTCAGGGATTGGGGAGATTGGGAAAGGGGAGGGTAATTGGGCCTCCGGTAACCTCACTCACACGACGAAACACAACGCAAGCGTTGCTTCACGTCGGTTATCTGTGAGGCCGTGGTATCACTCTGGTCGAGCCGGCCCATTCGTGCCGAAGCATGGCTCTCCCACACTTAAATTTTAAACCTTTTATACCCACATTAGATTACGATAATGTTAGTGAGTACATAAGAACAACTTTATTCAAATCATTCTAAGGTTCACAATCGCTTATAACAATACTTCAAAGTGTTATCACTCGAATTAAACCTTATGGGTATAAGGTTTAATTCGAGTGATAACACGATAAGTTCGAGTAGTAGTAAGTAAAGTAGATTAATAAGTTCGATAATGACGTACCAAAATGTTTCAGCGATCTCACTCCATTGTAAACCTAATATAAAGCATTATAAAGTCGATAATAACTTACCACAATGCTTCAAAGGCGGCTGTCTATGCGGTGAACAAGTAACTGGTGTAGCGTTGTGCCATTGTGGTCTCTCACTATTCAGTCGGACGCGCCAGATCTCATTTGTTACCTCTCCTGCACGACCTTCTAAGCCTGCTAGACCACCACTGTAATAGATTGGTTTTATTAAGTAATCAATTAATAATAACTATTAGTAGATTTGATAATCACTGTGTCGTCAGCGCTAACTACTAATAGCCTCATAGACAAAAGTGTTGACAAAAATCTGAGGATGCTGGTTAAGTTTATTCAAATATTCTCGGAAAGGCAGGTCGATGCCAGGCACGCCTCTCACAAAGATACTATTTATATGTAGTATTTCGAGGATGACCGATCAGTTTCGAGCCACACCTTAAGGGCCCCGAGTGTGGTTCGAAAATAGTCGTGCAAGTCCGAAACAAATCGTATTATTAACATAATTTAGTATTTCTCAGGATACATTACACAAAATATTAAACACAACACTCACCCCCTCTCTGGCTCATCAGAAATAACAACCCCTCCATAAACGATCAGCTCGTGTCCGTATAACACGGCGGAGTGCGCAAACCTCGCCGCCGGACTGTCGTACGTTGGGAGCACCTCCCATTCTTGTTCTGCTGTCTTATATCTGGAGAAGAAAGAAGGAAAGAAATATATTTCATACGCTAAAGGCAGGTGACATGTACAGATTGATGTATTAGTTCATACATACATAATTGGTACATGTTCATATCCCAGGTCTTTCAATCGAATCAACTGTTATCTTAAGTTGCATTTGACAGTTGATTATCAAAGCGTAACACAACGAATATTACGTCTTCAGAACAATCACTACATAGTATAAAATAAAATCGCTCTCCGCGTATCTGTCCCTATGTATGCTTAGAACTTTAAAACTACGCAACGGATTTAGATGCGGTTTTTTTTAATAGATAAAGTGATTATTAATGAAGATTTGTATGTATAATAATGCATATTGCACCCGTGCGAAGCCGGGGCGGGTCGGTAGTTGTTTATATAATTAGATTTTTCTAAACCTTGAATTTCATTTAAAGTTCGATTGTAGGACTAATACAGGACAAATAAAACTTTTCTTAATCATAACAATACCAACGCTAGCCAATAGGCTGCGCGATATCGCCGTGACTGCGCACACTGCTCATAAGGAGGAGCCCCTCAGTGGCTCGAAACTAGTAGAGCTTTTCTCAGTATATTTACGTGAGTAGCCCGCAATTTTTAGCCAATACCAACCTATATAGAAAATGCGAATGCGCAAACGTTTCCCCGCCAACCCTTAGCAAGTCATCTCCATACGGCAACAAGACATGCGCGGCGACGGGGGGCGTGTCCCCGCTGTGGGTGGGCGGGGCCCAGCCGGCGCGCCAGGCGTCGCGCGCGCACGCTATGCCGCGCCGCAACGCGGAGCACGCGCAGCCCGCGCGCGTACACGTACCGCCGCCGTACGCTGCGTTGCATTCCTCTGGAACATAACATACTCATTTCATTCTCAAGTTTATATTATAGATTAGCTGACCCAGCACACTACGTACCACTTAAAATCCTTTACACTCATTTTATAAACGTTCCCTGGACTTCTACGAATATTTAAAGACCAAAATTAGTCAAATCGGTTCAGTCGTTTTCTAGTTTTAGCGAGACTAAAGAACAGAAATTCATTTTTATATATTACAGATAACTACATCACATTGGGAACGGCTCATGACAGTTTACAGCTGGACTACGGCTTCTACTACATAAGTGTGTAGTTGGTGGAGGGCATACTTTAATAACTAAACAGATCTATTGGTTCAAGTTTATCACAGAGCGCTACTGCCTAGTCTCTGTCAATTAACGTGTAATTCTTTTTTTTTAAGGGCGAAAATCATCCAATGACTTTTACCGCCTTGGGTTAGGCGAGAGGGAGTGTCAGACTCTTACTGACTAAAAACCACCCCGTTCCTACTCCTGCACTTCCACCCGTTAGGCCTTCCACGGCACCGTAAATGTGTAATCCCTTTGCCGCTTGCCACTTGTTAGTTTTTTATAACAAAAAATTGTTCAAACAAAAGTAGGATCTGAACCTAACGGGTAACCGGGGCTCCGGCTCGACGTGCAGGAGAAGGTACGGGGTGGTTTTTAGTCAGTAAGAGTCTGACACTCCCTCCCGCCTCGCCCAGGCGGGAGCAGGCACTCCATGATTTTCGCCCGTTTAAAAAAAAAATTTGCACTCGTGTTAAAACAAGGGGTGGTACTAAATCACCGCACGGTACATTCAAATACAAAAATCACAGCACAATTCAACAAACATTTCAAGCCGCATTGCTAAATAATAAATGAACTGAAATCGACAGCTTTATTAGCTTTTCTACGAACGGTACTGTAATGAGTAAACTCAAGGTCATACCAACCTATGAATATAAAAACTACACCGTAATTTAGAAAGGTGTAAAGGTCGCCCATGTATTAATAGTACTGAAACCTTTTAATTCTATTTATAGTAGAGATTCGGTGAAAAAGTCTAAAGTAAAAACACACTAAGTTCATACACTTAAGTAGATTGTTTGTTGAAAGATTAATGATATTAGTTTATAAATAGACTAGGTTTCCGTCTGTGGCATCGCCCAATTGGAATTTAGGAAGATACTTTTTTAAAAAAGAGTAACGGACGGAGTTTCTTGCTCGTTCTTCTCCATTCGAATCTACATTTTGGAATGAGCACCTAGCTTCACCTAATTTCACTGACGGACAGACTGACAGACTATTATTTATTTTGTATTTGTTGACGTTTCAAAAGTACCAAACTATGGTTTAATTGAAATAAATGCTTTGATTTTGACTTTGACTTTGATTTTTAACGAGTATGTTCCGGCTTTGGAAGTACATCAGTTTATTTTTTTGTTAAAAAACGTTGCCCCACAATAGGATTTTCTCCTGTGTCGTGGGTGCATTTACAAAGATACAAGTTCACATACACATGACACCCAAACCCGGAACAACAATTTGTGGATCACACAAAGAGTTGTACCGTACGGGAATCCACTACACGTTGCTCGGCAGCCGGTCGTCCAGCCACCGCACCAACCGTGCAGTCATGTAGTATAAATAGTTAGTTAGTCTATGTTACACACAGATTAGTAAATATTGTAGTTTTGTGCGATGCAAACAAATAAACAAATCTTTCATTTTTATATCACACACATCAAGTTAATGATGAGGTCAATGCCTGGCCCATGTTGAACAAAAATATTTTTAGGTTTTTGTCATGACAACTTTTATACCTGCATCTTGTTAGAGTCAGTATATCGAAATAAAAACCTGTTTTGAAATTATAAAACCCTTTAAAGTTTCCACTAACTTTATGGTAATGATGTCATTAATTTTAAGGGGTAAGTACCCAAAATTTATCGTGAAAAGGTCAGAAGAAAGTTTTAAGTGTGGGAGAGCCATGCTTCGGTATGAATGGGCCGGCTCAACCGGAGTGATATCACCACGACCTCACAGAAAACCGACGTGAAACAATGCTTGTGTTGTGTTTTGTTGTGTGAGTAAGCTTACTGGAGAACCAATTACTCCCCCCTTCCCCAATAGCTACAATCTCTGAATTCTCAACATTCCTCAAAGGCCGGTAAACTTGTAACGTCTCTGGTGTTCCAGGTGTCCATGGGCGACGCCGATTGCTTACCATCAGGTGATCCGTCTGCTCCTTTACCGGTTTATCCCGGTTAAAAAGCAACTATGACAGCAAAGATTAATTGGTACAATTTTATCGTTCGGTTACCTGGACATAGAGGCTCATCACAGGCAACTCCAGTCCACTTCGGTTCACATCTACACGATCCATCTTCACATTCACCGTGATCTGGAAATAACACAAAACATTTATTAGTAAATCATTACTAACTATGCCAAAATACAGATAACTAATTAACAATATTAATTTCCAGGATTCAATCCATGGATTGAACAATAGTTTACTATATTTTGTGCTAGGCGTTAATCAAGAGTGTAGTATTTTTCAATGAATAAGACTGCCGGGCAAGGTCGCGGGTTTGATTCCCGGGTGGGGTGTTTGCAAGTGCGGGTCCGCAAAGTATTACTGGGCTTTTAAAAAAATTCTCAGTAATAGGACGGAGTCTGGAATTGTGCCCAGTATATGACAATAGGCTCACCCCCTATTACATGGGACTCATAACATAAATAGTGAAAGTGGGTGTTACATTGTTCAGTGGTATTAAGTGCCGTATTGTGCACCTCTGCCTCTGGCGTGATGTAATGTTATGTTAAGACTGCAATTTTAATTGATTGTCATAGAGAGACAGATTATGCAAAATATACGCAATATGTTTGTAAAATCCTCAGTGATATCACACACTTTGGGATACGCTACTCTCATAGCACCCAAACAGCAATTTATAAACCGCAAATTGACCCCAATAAAAACATAACTGGCCAAATCATCTTAAACATTTGAGTACCGTCATTATAGACACAATTAAAGAACAATAGGTATGCGGACACCGGTGCCCTCGCGGTGTTTGACAGTTTAAACCTAACAAGAGCGATTGGCGATATATTAAAGAAGGGCCAAATTAAAAGTACCCTTAACCGACGAGCATGCATGAAAAGATTGATGACTGTTAATGAAGCGAAAGAGGTATGTAAGAATCGTAGTAATTGGCGTTCCTTTGTCTCTGCCTACCCCCATGGGAGACAGGCGTGAAGTTATGTATGTATGTATGTAAGAGCATTTCTACTTACTCCATTTACAAATCACCACAAATACTTACTGGAACAATTAGTCCTATGATCATTGGAAGGGCAGGAGTACGCAGCATACGTCACGTTGAACCCCTCCATGGCATATGCATCATCGCTGAAGAAGTGCAGCAGCGCGCTGCCTGAACGAGCTATCACCTGCCTCGTCCAACTTGACTCCCCATTTTCTAAGACACCACTGGAAAATGGAGATAGAAGAGGATTAGTTCAAAAGCCTTGAATATAGCCTAAAAATCTGACATAACATGTCCAGGTAGGATGATGGCTCATCAACAGCACGTAAGACTTGATAGAGTCCACTACTGGACTACACTATCCACAAAATAAGGGTTTGTTATCTCCACGGCTGGTTGGAGATAGTAACTTGTTTAAAAGATTGGAAAGAAAAAAACATTTATTCGACAGTAGGCACGCACACAGATACAAAAAAGTACAAAATTAAAAAAGAAAAGATCAAATAAATACTCATATTTATATAGATATAGAGAAAAAAAAACAAAGAAACGACAGAGTATAGAGAGAAGAGATTAGATTTATCAGAGTGTTGGTATCTGGTCTCTTTTGTATAATGTAGTCTTTTTTGTAACGTATTACTGGAAGCAAGTACCCCACTTAGTTTTTAGAAAAATCTTTGTGGTGCTTGGCGATTGGGCTTCTCCTAGTTGTAGTCTCTTTTTGTGTCTTTCGGCTTAATTCATAGGGTAGTTTCCAGGGTATCAAAATTAAAAATCTAATTAGTCCGTCAGCTAGATAATGAAAAAATATTAGACACGTATTTTTTTATTTTCTTGTATTAAGTTGCAGTACTTAGCTCATAAAAGGGCGCCAAGTTTAGAAGAGGGATAGGGAGGTTGTTCCGTCATAACGTGCTACATAATGTGGCACACTGTGACGTCACACGATATTTCAAATTAATATATCGTCGAAAGTATTTAATTTTATGATAAAAGAAAAAATACGTGTCTAAAGTTTTAAATTAATGTACCAGACAGACATTAAAATAAAATTTAGGACACTACCCTATTCTGTATTCTGCATTAATTCACCGAGGGAAGTGGAAAGTATTGTTTTTTTCTTCTCCTCTTATAATATCTGATTCATTTCATTGCGGGTACCAAGACAGTTATTCATGTCTCTGGGGCGCGCCGGATTTCAGTGCTACGGTGTTTTCATGGTTGTATCTACTGTATATCAGAGTTGCAGCGGTTTGTGAGAAAACAAGGCTCTATAGCTACTCGGGTAGCTAAGGAGTCCAAGGTGTTTTTTTCTTTTTGTTTTAAGGGGTGAAAATCATCGAATGACTGCTCCCGCCTGGGCGAGGCGGGAGGGAGTGTCAGACTCTTACTGACTAAAAACCACCCCGTTCCTTCTCCTGCACGCCGAGCCGGAGCCCCGGTTACCCGTTAGGTTCTCCGCGACAGAGTTCAAGGTGTACGATGATTCGATTGTACTAGAGTAGGTACACACATTTACCGTAGGTATACCTCTACCCTTTTTAAAGGAATCTACGCGGAACAAGTCACATATACACATTTTAAGTACGACAGTGAATATTAAAGATTCTGTAGAACATAGATAATGATGTTCTTCACACGTTGACGTCATCATTGATTAGAATTATAAATAGTTATACAAAGAACTAATCCCAATCTATGAAATAGCTTCTAGGAAAACTTAATATTCTTAATTGGGTGAGTCACAGCCTTAGTAGGTATCATCGAATGACTGCTCCCGCCTGGGTGAGGCGGAAGGGAGTGTCAGACTCTTACTAACTAAAAACCACCCCGTTCCTTCTCCTGCCCCGGTTACCCGTTAGGTTCTCCGCGACTCCGAATCGGCATCGGCCCTATTGGGCCCCATCTGTGGTGGTCTGATGGCTCTTTGAGGCGCGCGCGGAACGCGACGCGCCGTACGCTCGGGTCTGTTTCTGGTCGGACGGGGAGCCACCCATGCTCGCCGTCTGCGCCGCCCACGCTTACGGTGGCCGGAGATCGTCCCGCGATCCCCGACGCCCGGTGTGTCCTTCGCGATGGCTGGGTTGCGAGGAAGCAGCGCTTCGCTGCCTCACGCGTCCCGCCTCCTCCTTAGCTAGCATGACTGCTTCGCAAAATGAGGAGACGGCATCCCAGTCCCAGACTAGGTAGGTATAGCACTCGTGTAAAATGCTTGTTTTTACCCGACTGAGCGAAGGAGGGTGATGTGTTCATTGACAGGAATAAGTATTGGTTTTTATTTATTTTTTTGTTTTTTTTTTAAGCGTTGCCCCCCCACACTGATTTTCTCCTGTGTCGTAGGTACAATTATACAAGTTCACATACACATGACACCCAAACCCGGAACAACAATCAGTGGACCACACAAAGAGTTGTTCCGTGCAGGAATCGAACCCGCGACACGTTGTGCGGCAGCCAGTTGCCCAGTCACCGCGCCAATCGAGCAGCCAAAATTTAAATATAGGATACTTTTATCGCCATTAACTTATCTACATAAGTTTCACATTAACGCTCGAATACTGAATCTAATCTAATGGCTAATCAATGGTACTAAGTTGTAATCAATGTTAAGTTGTTTACTTAAATATCGTGCCATCTCTTTCATTTTACCAAGAACTTGTAGGGACAGAACTACACTTAAGCGCGACTTAAAATTGAGTAACGTTTCAGTACTCTTGTATAAGACAAGTAATAAAATAAATATTATTCTTATTATTTACTAGCTTCTGTCCGCGCAATCTCGTTTTCTCCCGTTCCCATAAGATTTTCAGGATGTTTTTTCTATTATAAGAACCTTCTCCTGACAATAAAAAACACAACAAAAAAAAAATTGCCAAATCGGTCCAGCCATTCTCAAGTTATGGCGTGACAACGGGAAACGGGTTTCATTTTTATATATATTTATAGATAGATTAGTTAGTGTAATGTACCTATTTATACATACTTAATAATAGCCTCAAATTTTAGCCTGGATGTTCCAGGCTATAATTTAAGAGCAAACACAATAATAAAAATGAATGAATCACCCAAATGTAGGTATGTATGTGTGTGCATAACTAAAGCTAAACTGAACGACTGCACCAAATTGGATAATATCATAATAGATATACAGTACACGCCTACTTTGTAGAGTATACAGGATGCTAACTTCTTAGGTATATATCAGTTATACGATCTACACTTGGGACCAAAGAAACGGGGTCACTAACCTTTATTTTTTCAATTTATCGAACTTTCTATGACTTTTTTGAACAAAATAATTCTTTTTGTAACAAAATGCTCTCATTTTAAAGGTAACTAAGGCAACGACATGTTATTTTATGGTAACTATAAGCCGGTAAACCAGCAGGATCACCTGATGGTAAGCAATCGGCGTCGCCCATGGACAACCGGAACACCAGAGGCGTTACAAGTGTTACCGGCCAGGAATTTTTGTTGGGGATTCAGGGATTGCGGAGATAATTAGGCCTCCGGTAATTTCACTCCCTCTCACCTAACCCAGGCGGGAGAAGTAACTGGCTGATATTTCCCCTCAAAAAAAAAAAAGATAAGGTTGTTATGAAAGAAATACCTATTTGAAAGTTTTCTTAGAAAAACAAACGAAACCAGGGTTAGCAAGTAAATCGTAAATATTTAGAAATAAAAAGGTCAACCTTGACTTGACAATTGACACAATGTGCTACAATGTATAATGTATGTACATATATGTGTTTTATCTCCCATCCCGTTAGCCTTGACAGTCGACAATTACATTTAGAATATACCTACATCACTTTTGTTGATGGCCTGACAATTTGAGAACATTATTCTATACATCTTTATTAGAACATTAAATAAGAAAATTTTTTACCACAACTTCCCTGAATATGTTCAACCCTCGACTAGAATCAGTCTATCCTTTGTTAAAGGCACATGATAATAGCATCCAGCAGTTATTGAGTTTACTCTAACAGACAGATGGAATTAGTGTTATTTATTTTTACTAACCGCCTGCCCCAGGTCCGTAACTCTATATGGAAGAAATATATACACATCTTAACATTAATATTATAATCTGATTAACAACCTGCTTTTAAATGATTATTCACTCTATCATAATGTTCTAAAGTTTAATATTGAATCTCACTTGAACAGAGCAGGCAGTTCCAACACCAATCATAAATGATTACAAACTCTATCGCTTACCCTCTAAAGTCTAATTTCACTTACCTGAACACAGCAAGTAATTTCTCAGCTCTAACGCTGTCACCGTCATATACATAAAGGTGGTCCCACCCGCACTCGGTTGCAAAGCTCTCGAGTCGCACCCGTAGCGGTGGAGGCGTTGGCCCAAGTCTGGGGGGAGTGAGCAGCCAGGAACATTGTGTGCTAACACTATAGTTGCCTGGGCCATCCGTTATGAAGCCCGTTGGTGATGTTAAACTGGAAAAGATATAATTTTATTATTAAAAACTTTTAATGCTTCACTAAAATTGACAGGTCGGGTAAAGTTTCAATTAAACCTAATAACAATATTTTACCATTAATGTAGGTACACTACACCTGATATTAAGTACCATGACTTAGACACAAAGCAATAGTTTTTTAGACATTAAAATAGGTATAGAAGATATAAAAACCCAACAAACAAGGAGGTCAACAACCCCCATTTCCAACGCATCAAAAACCGAGATAAAATAAATGTCACAGAACAAAATACAATAAATTAACCTTGCATTGAATATTTAATTACAGAGATAATAAAATATATAACAATCAAAATATAGTGTGGGATCTGATTGTCATTGTTTTACATGTGGATCAAACAAAAACAATTGTTTATAGACTGATGATCGCTGGATCTGATACTTGTGTTGCTAAACCATGAAAAACATTTATTCAGTAAAAGAGGTTACAAAACAGTCTATTTCTATCAATTTTGGAATTTCCTATCGGAATACTTTTAACGAAGAAACACTAAAAAATATGTTGAATGTTGTGTATGAGACCAATGTGAATAATTAGTTAAGGTAACTAAAATCGCGGGTTACTCACGTGAATATACTGAGAAAAGCTTTACTAGTTTCGAACCACAGGGGGGTTCTTCCTCATGAGCAGCGCGACGTTGTCGCGACCGCAGTTATTATATAAATTAGTCAAGTCTCTGATATAAGAGTAAACAAAACTCTACCATTCCCCAGAGGGATTGTAAATTTAGGGCATTTAACTCATCGAGTACCGTATTTATAGACACAATTAAAGAACAATAGGTTGCGGTCACCGGTGACCGCTTGGTGTTTGACAGTTTAAAAAACCTTTATTTGTCAAAGAAGGGGATTTACTTAACCCATCTAAATGGCATTGGTTCTAATTAGATTGATATACCAGGATTTCTTATTGAAAAACCTTGTGTCTTTATCTTTAAACTTCACCAAAAGATAAGGATTAAATCCTTTCGCTTTATTTAATTAAGTAATGCCCGAGTACTGAAATGCATCTCAATTTTAAGTTGTGCTTAACCGCTTGAATGCACCAATATGAGACACAATAAAAAATACACTACGTCTAGCGTGGATCCATGTTTAGACACATGAAAGGTTAAGTATAGTTCCGTCACCACAAATAACAGAGATGACATCATAAATGGGATAACCTCAGTATTTGGGCATAAGTCTTCTATTCAATCAAGAAGCGTAATAATCATATTCATACATCATAGATCATATATTAATTACACACTCAAACATCAAGACTTTGCGGTTTTAAAGTAATTATTTTACAGGTACCTCATAAGGTAAACTTTTCCCTATTAAATGCATCACTCGTATATTGCAAAGATATTTTCAAGATCGTTTCATAACAATAACTTGGTTATTTCGTAACATTCTATAGTTAATACTGTATTGTATTGTAAGATTTTCCTATTAAATATTCTTTTTGAATTAACATAATTATCTATAGGTGAAAATTACTTAGTTACCTTGTTTATACATTTTATTTATGAATTTTAATATGTAATGTAGACTAGATTAGGAGTTTCTGCGTTCTCTGATTCTTCAATTAAGTAAGGGTTTTATAAGATTAGTCTTATCAGAAATAACAATCTAATTAAGACTTTGAAACTAGGTAATTGGGATAGGACTAGAAGATAATCTATTTATGGATAATTGTATATACCTAATTTGTGCTTAACTAGCTATTTTAGTTAAAACTACCACAATTGTATTCCAATTTCAAAAACACTATTCTTCTTTGATATAGGTACCTAATTCCCTGCTTCACTTGAGTTCTAATTAACTATCAACATGTTAGTGATCAAAACATAATTACTTAATGAATAGACACTAGTATTTGAGGGATTTAGTCAGCCCTAAAACAATGCACATTATATCTTACACTATCTCATGTTTATAGTTTTAATCTAATAAACACTGTGAACATAAAACCTCTTTCCATTACTCATCCTATTAGGCTGTATAAGAAAATCTGATAACCTAAAAAAAAACTAAAGGTTATCGCGAAACAGCTGATACAGTATTGAAAAACTGTAAATAAATAATAGACGAACTAAAACACGCCACATTTAGCGTGATAATGCAAAATAAACGTCTAAATGTCCTTGTTTTGTGTCTAAACATGTTTAAAACAACAATTCGTCCCCAATTTGCCGTTTTGAAAGCATAATTATTCATTTAGCAAAGGTTATTTTCTCTAATGTTGGCCAGAGAAACGGATCGACAACATTATCAATTTCCATGCCGTCACGATCACTTCGACCTTCAGAACTCCGCCCGGGATGGAGGAAAGAAGCCAAAGTGTATAATTGGATAATCCTCGCGGGCTTTCTCTTGCAAATTCTACTTACCAACCAGTAAGGCGCGCCTCAAAAAGAGGTCAGTGAACCAGTCAAACTAAAATGTATCACGACCACTCTGAGGACTCCAGGAAGACTTACTTGACTTTGCCGCCGCAGTACTGACACTCCGGACCCTGCCACCCCTCGTAACACACGCACATATCATTTTTACACACACCGTTTACACAAGTATGATCTCCACACTTAGACAGAACACCATCACAGAACAATAACACTATGAGCACTGAACACAGGAATGGCGAGAACCATGAACATTTTCGTCTGTATTTAGATTTAAATAGAAATAAAAACATTTGTAGCGATTCTACCATTTTGATGTATGCATTTTCAACGAGTTTTATTAGCGCGGACGTAAAAGCGGTTTCGACGTCGCGTAGTTTCGTACGGTACTAAGTTTGGGGTTGTCATACTTTTAAAACTAAAATACCTCAAAGTAAACTTCACCGTTAATTTGACGTAAAGTTCTCAGAATTATAAAATATTTTTAACTTCTACAAAAAGGTATCGTGTTTATTTTGCTATGAATTGAAATCATATTTGTAAGTAACTTTATGTTTTATTATAGGATCTGTAACAGTAGTAATTTCGACATGATTTATCGTTTAATTAAATACTAAAACACCGAAAAATTGTACTAGATTTGTGTAACTAAACTTGAATAGTGGAAATGATTTAGTGTGTGTTTATTTTTCTTTTATATAATTTTAATCTTACGTTTTATATATCTTATAATTAATTTAGTAATAGTTAATTTTAATATTATTTAAGTTTTTATTGAAAATTTAATAAAGAGTTTATTTTTAGTGTGTTCAATATTTAGAATTATAATGATTTACTGCTTTTCTATTATTATATCTATACAATAAAGCAAAAAGAAATGACTTTATGAGAAACTTAATTTTTAAAAATAAGATTTATTTTATCATTGTCTTTTATTACTTGTTGTACATTGTCCATTATTGACTTTTATACTACCACAAATGTGTAACTTTTATTCCATCGGGTGGTGCAAAAAGATTTTAGAATTCCTGAAATAATTGCAAAATATATTTTACTGGTAACACTAAATTGACATTAAATTTAGCTGGGTAGAAATTATTATGGCAGCGTTCAATATTTTTTCGCATTTCTATGACTTCGACCACATTTAAATTTTAAATAAATTAAATTTGTATTTCAAAAATATTATTAATGAATGCTGAAATATTTGAATACCTATAATAACATATGGTGTATTACACTAATTGAATGTGTTATTTAAAAAAACCACAGTAGTGCCATCTATTGATCAATTAGTGAAATAAGTATTTCTAATTCTGTTATAAGTCAATAGGTGGCGCTACTTTACGAAATTACCCTCATCTTGAGTAAAAATTCATTTCAAAATGTATCTGGTGTTTACAATCTTCAGTCTTAGTAGTTTTTTTTAATTAATAATTGTGCCACTTTCTACCTTTAGCAAGTTTTTCACTGAAGAAAATAAAAACTGCCATCCATTATTTTCACTTGGCTTGCAAAGAAAAGATGAATGACAGGATATTTTCTTTTGTAGCGATTTTTATCTTTCAACTGCGATCTTACTTTGTTTGTTTTCGTTAAGTGCGGCACTTAATTAGTTGGATGTAGCACTTAAATTAAAAAGCATAGCTTTTGTACTCTATGTGTTAATTGTTGGCGGGAAATAAAAATGGAGGAAAGATAGATTAAGTTTCGAGAATTTCAATATTTTTCATGGAAGACATATACTGAAGTAGGTAGTATCTAACAAAGCAATAATGGCTTATGTAGGTAAATTACTATTTTTGGATTTTTTGCTTATTTCACAAGACAAGATTCGTGTACCTATATGAATTCTATCTATCCGCTCTATAAAAGTTGTTTTATTCGGAATTCAACATGTGGAATGTTCTCTGTTAGTGTTTCCTTGTACTCCGAGAGAGATCACCTACCTACCACTTTTCCTAGTTCTGAGTTCAAAGTGGGTGTTAATAATTTTCTTATTTGAAATTCACTTAATCAATTATTGGTGATGGTTAACTGCCAGATCCAACGCACCAAGTGGTGAGAGGTTGACCACCCGCCACGCTTCGAGACGGTCTCGGTCTTCAACCACATACTCAAGCAAGCCTTGGATTGGAATTCTCAGGGGTAAAAGTTGCGTGGCCGTCTTCGACCTGGCGACGTACCGTGTTAGTGGACTTGGCAGAAGTAGCGGGCATCGGAGTGAGGTGAAGCATGAAACTCAAGATTGAGCGCAATGAAAGATTTCGGTGAATATCTTCTGGACCATAAGCAACTGAAATACCAGAGGCCTGAGACGTTTTTTGGTAGATTTTGAATATAAGGCTTGTTGAAAATTCGGGGATAGGGGAGATTGGGGAGGTGGGGGGTAATTGAGCCTCCGGTAACATCGCTCACACTCCACGTGATGTTTAAGCAGAGAGCGGTTTGCTCTTATCATTATGACTGTAAAAGTAAGGAGTGGCGACATAATGTACCTATATGCTATAGGTACCTACTAGGTTGCTGTCGCCAGACGACTCCAGGCTTCCTGTTAGGAATTAGGTTTAGGTAGATCAGAACTAGAACTCTTAAAAATTCACTGTATAATTACTTATCTAACTAATTAATGGACTTACTGATTTAAACTCTTATACGAGTATTTGTATGCCTAAAATAGGCTGATCATAGCGTATTTTAATCTAAAAATGACCAACCAAATGTACCTATGTATCACAAATAAAGGTTTCATTTCATTTCATTCTATTATAATTACCAAAATATTGATTTATAAACAACGGAATTTACCAAAAAACCAGTTTGGAAAGTAGGTGGACTATCAGATATGGTGCTGTGCTGACATGGATATGTGATGCTAACGCGAGCGTCGCGTGTCGCCACCGCCGCCGAGCTACGGGGGGGTATAATCAAAGTGGTGGGATTTTTTGAAACTAATTTGTGTAGGTAAGTAGCAGAGATTTTGTAAGTTCTACCCTTGAACTTATACATACTATTGTACCTACACTATACGACTACAAAGGTATACGTATCTTTTTTTTAAGGGGGGAATAATCATCGAATGACTGCTCCCGCCTGGGTGAGCCGGGAGGGAGTGTTAGACTCTTACTGACTAAAAACCACCCCGTTCCTTCTCCTTCACGTCGAGCCGGAGCCCCGGTTACCCGTTAGGTTCTCCGCGACATATACGTACCTATGAGCTAAGATTTTTTTGGTTTTTCGAAAAATCCTTAATAGTAAGATATCTGATTGGGAATTGTGCTCATTATGTGATAATTCTCGCCCCTTTTTGCATAGAACTCATTACAAATCTAAAAAAAGGTTTTATATTGTAAAAGCTCACAGGGTATTAAAAGGCATGACGTTCTCTTAACTACTTATGTGTTCTATAAAGAGACAGATAAGTTACCTTCTGTCTCATGTCGAGCGCTCGACAATTCTTATATCAGGATACTCCCCAGTAAACAGGGATTCGATAGTAGATTTACCTTTAACCCGAACTAAAAGGTCATTTGATATTTTTGTTTCTACCAAACTCAATATTTTATGACCTCTTTTTTATGGGATGCCGGTAAACGAGCAGACCGATCACCTGATGGTAAGCAATCGGTGTCAGTGTCAGACTCTTACTGACTAAAAACCACCCCGTTCCTTCTCCTGCACTTCGAGCCGAAGCCCCGGTTACCCATTAGGTTCTCCGCGACTCCGAATTAAAAAAAAAAGCTACTTGGATTGGTACCTAAAATAATAAATTATGAATAAAATCCCTACAATAATATTTTTCCATGCTTGTTCCTATTTCAAAAATTTCCCTCCAAAACGGCCATATTGAAAAAAAACCTTCAATAAACACTAAAACGCGATGGCATTAGAGTTTTCGACGAAAACGCTCACATTTTAAACCTAATGCCCGAACTACATGCGATGATAATACAAAACCACGTTAATTTTTATAATTAAAAACGTTATTTAACCATTTCGAGTGGTTTTTTTTTTCAAATTCTATTACTTTTAATTATTGTTTGCTCATGTTACATTATGGGTTCCAATTGTTCTTGATCTTGGAAAAATGAAAAAAGGCGTCTGCGATTTTCTTTCTTTGAGTTCGTTGAGTACCTAAGGGTTGATTCACTTGGTACTTTTTTATTTAAAAGGAAACTATTATAGATATTTGTTCAATGTTTCAGCTGCATTTGCAGCTGATTAATGAAGGCACCTATTTAATAAAACTTTTTTTTTATGGATAGGCAATCGGTTTCGCCCGAAACATCAGTGGTGTTACAAGTGCGTTACCAGCCTTTTGGGGATTAGGAATTTGAGGATTATAGAGGATTGAGGACATTGGGGAGGGGTGATAATTGGGTCTCCGGTAATCTCATTCATACGACGAATCACAACGCTGTGGTTGTTTCACGTAGGTATTCTGTGAGATCGTGGTATCACTCCGGTCGAGCCGGCCCATTTGTGCCGAAGCATGGCTCGCTCCCACACGTTCCTATTTTCACTCAGCTTTTCATAAAAATATGAAAAAAAATCTCAGATTTATTTTCGACTTAACTTAGTATAGGACCAGCTTTTTATCCTCCAAACAAAGTTAAAGGTTTACATTACATTTGAAACATTTCACTAAGTTATTAAATAAAATTTAAAATAGGTACCAAGGAAGCGATGATATTTTTTTAATTATTGAACTGAACCAACTAAACCCTTTTATAAAATAGACAAAGCTAAAAACAGTTACAGACATTACTTAACCTTTTTAGACGTTCAATTAAAAAAGTACACATCAAACCTTCGCTACCAACCTGTCTATAATCTATACGTAGAAGCGTTCTCTTTTTAAAAACTAGGGCCAAAAGTGGTCAGCTGCTAGCAATTTTAGTATTATGAAGGCATGCTCGCGTGTCCGCCGCAGCATTTGTGACCAACCCATAGTTTTTTAATTGTTGTTTTCGTGCTAAATATGCACGGTCGCGGGCAACGGTTAGATTCGTGAAGGCAGACGGATACGTCATTTTCGTCGTTTTGTGTTGAGCTGTTGAGTAATTAACTATTCATAGTTTTGCTAGGTAGGTGTTCTGTACCGAAATTGTTTGTTTAGGGATGTATCCATTGAATAAATTTAGTTTTTTTTGTAATGTCGAAAACTTTCCGTGAATTTTGTTATTAACCCTTTGAGTACCGTCATTATAGATACAATTAAAGAAAAATAGGTTGCGGTCACCGGTGTCCTCGCGGTGTTTGGCCATTTAAGTGCGACTGCGACTATTGTATAGTGAGTTTTGGAAGGGTAGTCACGGAAAATACTACCTAATGTTCAGCTAAATTCGGATAAGACTTAAACAAATTAGATAAGTAAAAGTCGGGAGGAAAA